CCTCCAAATATTACAGACGCGCGACTTCAATACAATGATGCATCGTCTGGCAAGGTGGTAATAAATGTCACATGGGAGGTAGACGATCCGGAGTGTCAGCAGGTGTACTGTGATGTTTCGTTTGGTAAGTATGATGATGATGATGTTCCCTAACTTTAGGCATGTATCGAGGTTATCGATGTTGAGCAGGAATGTTTGCTATATGTATATGCAAGAAAAACATTATGACTTCATTCAAATGGTATCTTTTATAATTGCAAATATTTTGTCATTACAGGGTTGATATGGAAGTCTGAAGAAATGACTATTGACTGTAAATCGGAGGTCACAGTAGGGACAGAAGCACTCAATATACCGCATGGTACCAGGTTAACGGGAGTCATCTTATGTAAAAATGATGCTGGAATAATACACCAGACACATACAAATGACATCACTGTTCTTCTGGATCCTCCTGGTCATAGGGACAGCCGTATAACTTTCCTAGATACACATGGTTCTACAGTCAGTGGTCAGGTCGTAACGAGGTCAGGAGATCGCCTTCTGTTCCATTGGGATGAGTTCGACTACCTTGCAGGTGACGTCACATACCAGTATCGTGTAGATTACTTGAACGGTTCCAAGACATCGTGGATAAACGTAGGTTATCGTAACTTTGTTACCACTAATACCTTAAACATCGTGGAGGGGTCAGAATGTGGCGTGGAGGTTAGAGGTTCAAACGACAGAGGTCTAGTCAGTGGCACCATCAACGCCACAATATATGTATTCCGACAACCACCATCACTAACAGGTAACCGAGAATTTTGTATTTCAAAACATTGTCGTTAACTCGTTAAATAATGGTTGTGCTAGGCCTAATCGTTATTGCATCGTTGATTAGAAACCTGCCTAATTATACATGTGTCTGATTCTAAACAAACTTATTTCAAACGTCATGCAATGTAACAAAACTGTTGTGTGTTGTTTTTTCTTTTCAGGAACACCATGTAAATTTCCAGTAATCAGGACAGGAACTGTCACTCTCAACTGTTCTCTCGTCTTTGATGTGATCGATACACTGAAAACGTCATACATATTAACAGTCGGCACTGAACTGGGATTCTCTGATATTGTATGGTATCATGCTTTTGATGAGGACGTGTTTACGTTCAAGATAAGGAATGATGTGGCAGAACTGTTTGTCATAGTAACGGCTGTGTATGACACCGGAACAGAAACAACATACACAGACAGATTTCCCTTAATCAATTAACTTTTTTGAGAATATTTAGTAACCCTAATCATTGTACAATAAAATTTATTGTAATTGCATCATTAACATATCAGGCTGTTGTATATTCGTAAAAGTAATATATTACGTTCTGGAAAACACTTGCAGATACATAACCTTAAATAATTTGACTAAACAAAGGATGCTTAATTTTAATAACGTTTTTTTTCTTCAAAAGAATTATCGGCATGATTTGCTTTGCCATTCCTTTAAATATTGGTATATACAGGTTATTCTTATAACAGTTTCCTATAAATTTGCCATACTTTGAGGGTAAAAACAGCGAATTAAGGAGCCATCATGGGATCCTAACTGCAATCTTTAATTGGTTTATGTTGAAATACGCTTTGTATGTTCATTATTATATCACAGTCATTCCTCTCTGCTTTGACTTCATTAAATTTATAAAGACATAATATCCTATTATTAATTGTTGCATTGTTTAGGATATGTCTGATGGAACTATAGTAACAATACTTTATTTTTACAATTATTGTATCCCTCTTTCTTTGAACAGTTCCTTAACAACCTGTTAACCGAAATGAACAGAGAAATGTGTCACGATAAAACGAACGTCTGAATATCTCGTTCGGTAATGACTCGTGAAAGAGGAACTACTACTAACTATAACGGGGTATTTTATTAATGGCATCAGGTGTATTTCCTATCAACAGCGCAATGCTGTTGATATACATTGAGCCTATTCACATTTTTTGCGCCACTCTATTTTAATATCAATACCATCTAAGCATTCTTACTTGTATACAACGGCAAACGACCTGCCGATGGTCATCAGAGTATGCGTGCTATCAAAGCACCATCAAAAATGGAAAAAAAAGTGTTTTAATACATCGGACCATATTCTTAATTTTTCTATCTACAATGCATTTTTCGATTCTAAACGTTTTCCAATCGTCCATTTGAAACCTTTTCGTATATCATTTTGACAATAATTATTTATGCTTTTTCCTGTGTATATAGTTTATTTATTGCTTATCAAGTTTGTAAAAGAAAATATTTTTGTATCATTTTAACACGGTTATTAATTACCATGTATCAGTGAATTTTTGTAATACCAGAATTTGCTTTGATTTTTTAGTTAATAAATCATTCACTTCAATTTAATTTTCTTGGTTTTGTTTTTAAGTGATGACTGGATTTATGGCATAACCTTCTGTCCGTTGTTAACTGATATTTGCCTATAGAACTTTCACAATTTACAACACATCTGATTCCTTTGTTACTTACCAACAAAGGAAGATGTAGATTTATTTTTCCTGTATTCTCATTCTTTTCCGAACTTTTAGCCCTTATAGCTGCATTTGTAAGATTACATTGTGCCCTGCTGCATGAACATTTAGGATGAGTTATTTCCCGTCGTCTGTTACAGCATGCCTAATTTTGTCCAGGAATTTCTTTTCCTAGTTTTCGATCCATAACCGATCAGTAATGCAAAGAAAACGACATAAAAAGCTCCAGTTTATATCGAAAAATTTTAAAAACAAAATGAGAAGGTGTGCTTTCCCCAAAATTCAACAATTTGATATTTTCCTACCGTTGAAAACTGAGGTGACTATAGTTTTTCTCTCCGTCCGTTCGCCTGTCTGTCTGTGTACGAACCTTCATACCAATGTTCGTCAGCGCTCTAACTTCTCCAATACTTACGCGATTTGGATAATATCTAACAATTACAAACGACAATAAGCTATTGGACAAGTTTGAGTATCAGAATTGTTAGGTTAAGTCCAAGGCCATCGTTACGACATTAAGACAAACAACAGAACAAACATCAATATGATAAAATATTTCACCACAATTTTCATCAACCAGCATCTTTTGTACCGTTACATATTTGTCCGTCAGTTGACATCTTCTTGCATGCACAAATGCGTGATAATAGGGACAGGTTCTTATTGCAATTATCAACTTACTTATCAACTGCGACATGTAAACATCATAGGTTGAAAATGCCGAGATGCATCTATCAAGAAATGGAAAATTCACAATAGGGAAATTGAAATTATCACGTTTAGCTTATAGCTTGGTGGGAAGCTATCGATGTTGGTTTCCAATTACGGATGTGGTGATTACATTTCTCCTTATTTATTGATACAGCGTAATATATATATCTTATTACCGTCGGTCTTCTTTCCCAGAAAAGAAAGATCTCATAACAAGAGAACGAAGGCGTTCTTTCAGTTTAGGTGGTGTACAGTGTAGAACAATCAAATGTTCTTATATTAGAAATGTTTAAATTGTGTTGAAGGAAGATCAGCCGCTCTTTGAAGTTATTGAAGTTCTAGTGTAAATATATATATCATGATACACTTAGTGAACTTTTCTTATCACTTTTGAAGAGGGTGAGACTGGAGAGATTTGGTGACTTGTTGTTGACTTTCGCTTTTTATCTGCTGATATAATATAGACTTATATATCACCTGTTTCCGCCATTTTATGCCTTTTGTTGGCCATTTTTAACAAGATAATTGAGCTGGCACATTTAATGAAATTCATTGTTTCATAAAAAGCAGTTAAATACTTAGCTAACTTGATGCATCTAGAACCTTGCACATAATTTATGTTTATTTTGTAAGTTCATTTTTATCTTATGTACATGGAGTAACATTAGTTTCCTCCCTTCATTATACACACAAATATGTAAAAGTAGTTACATCCCCTTGCAAAGAAATCAAAGAATCACGGTAGACCCCTTTCTATTAAAGTTTTACATATACGTCACAAATTGTGTATTTATTCCAATTTTTACATGAATAATGCCATGCTGTATTAATCATCATACGTGTAATCCTTATAACTGAGTATATGTGTTAAATGCATTAAAAGGCACTTTAAAGCTACCGCATTTTCTCACATTACGCTTTTGCACGTTTATGTGACACGATGGAGTATGTATAAATATTGTCTTAATACATAATAATGTAATTTGTCGGCAAGGTTTCACAATTGATTTGCTCAAATTGTTTGAGAAGCGCCGCATGTGGGTTTTACAAATTGTTATTCAAAATATGATATTTTTCTTTAACTTAATAATTTGTGAGACCAATTGAAACCATTACGAATATTTGTATGAATGCCAACAAATTTATTATAGATGGCAATATAGGATACTGAACCTTGTTTAAAAATAAACTTTAATGTGTTCGAGGAATAATAGGTTGTTTGATACCAGAACCATTTTATTGACACACATCACAAGTTACTCTAGAAATACAGCAACAAACTATCATCTACAAAGTAGCAGAATCGTTGAGTTATAAACAAATTCCTTGTACATTATTTTGTACTTCATTACAAATTATCCATTACAAACAATCAAACAATGGCAAATAAAATGTTATCGATCTTGCAATACAGGAAGGAGATATTTCAAATACAAACGTTTCAACTCTGTGTGATTACAAATATGTTTCCGTTATGTCTATTGTACTGAAATGCTCATTTATATTCATGTTCTGAGCACATCGCTTCCAAGTTATGCATCCTCCTAAAATTACAACTTAGAAACAAATATGTAACACTATTTACTTACTTTTTCTTATCCAGCTAGCGAAATCCCATTTTGGGACAACCTTGTTTTATCTGTAAAAGTCTTGACAGAAAATGTGCTAATGAGACATTGATTGTAAACATACATCTTAAATGTACAAAGCTTTCATATTGATTTGTGATTAGTAGCTTTTATATCCATTGCAACTAATGAAGGAACTCAAACTACGCGATACACTATCCTGAACCCTCTCTCCACTACAGCAAAATCACTGACAAAGCGGATGAGAAGCTTTCCATCTCCATGGTACGTGATGTTACGACCGTTCGCAGACTCGCCACAGTATCTGGAACAGAGAGAATCAAAAGATTTTTGTGAAAATTTTGTAAATATTTTCCATCAGCTGTTAGTAAATCTTCGTCATTTATCGTAGATTGAAACACTAAATATTTATTTAGGCGAATTATCAACATCTGTTTTGTTTTATTAACAAAAACTATGTGTTTAATTAACAAATCAATTGTTCAATTAACGTAAAGTGACCCTTGCTATAGATCTTATGCAATGAATTAATTTGATTGACGGTGAACATCAAACATAAATTATAATGTTGTATTTGTGTATGTATTTACTTACTTTTCTCCCACCTGCTGGACACCGTACAGTTTTATCTCGAGAAAATCATTGTTACAATCATCCCCGTCTTCGATATGGAATTCTTGGATTTGTAGATCGATACTCGACTGCTCAGGTGCCTAAGAAGATAACAATAATAATAATTGTTTCCCTTTTCCCGTTTAATAAACGAATATCATAATCCTTTCTAATTTTGTTTGTCGGTTTTACCGTCTCTTACCCTTTTAGCAAGAACAGTTTTGTTAAGTTGAAGCTTTTTACCACTTGTTATAATTGTTCGTATTTGATTTAAAATATGTTGATATTATGATATTTCCGAAACCATAAATGCCATGTCAACCCAATACAAGGGTATAGATGCCAAAGTTACAGAACAAAGGCAACAAAGGCAACTATAGGGACATCAATCAAAGATATAAAATCTCGCAAAAGTTTATAGAATGAACTATTTCATTTTCTTCAGGCTTTCGTTAAACCCTTGAAAAATTAAAGAATCAAAATGTATTACATACCTCTATGAGCCAGGAGCATTTTGTGTTCAGATTGTAGTTTTGAGGGTAATTTGATGACTGGATAACACCATGAGTACCTGTCAGCCTGCCTCCACAGCCTATAATGGTGTGAAAATCGTATTCATACTTACTATAAGACATCTGGTTGCAACGGTTAGTCTTCACATGCTTCATTAAAACTTCAGAAAGTTTTCTTTTACATTATCATGACCGAAAAATACATAATTCCAAAGGGCCATTATCTTAAGATAATGGCATGATTTCAATATCGGTATATTTATATAACTGTACTTTTACAATTATATGATTTAGTCACATGTACATTGCATGTTTAATGCTCGGTTGTAATGACTTCATTTTTTTCTTGTTTATCTAGAAAGGATTTCGATTTGATAATTACTTTCTGACTGTTATATAAAGAGGTGTTGAAATAGGGAATTATAATCATGCACTAATTTTGGTAATTGTTAAATAGATTTACAAAAATGATTAAACCATGTAATTACCTGTTCTATTCACACACTATTTCAATTATATGTTTAATTTCAACATTATCTAAAATGCGTAAACTTGCTACCTTTTGCGACTTGTGGTGTATCGCAAGCGGGTCCCGTTAGGCCTGCAGGACACACACAAATACATGATGGTCCTACGTATCCACCATTCTGACAAGGCGGGGACACAGGACATCCAGCTGTAACATGGCAGCATTGCTTATAATTAATGAAGTATGATAGCATCATGTTAATTGCGACGCCAATTTCTCCGGATATCTTGTTTTTTTTCATATTCTATAGACCAAGGGTGGTCTTTAAAATATCATTCATAAACCAACGTTCTCATCAACCGGTACATTTCTGTGACATTCATCGTTATCATTTTAAAGCAATTACATTTGTCTTCTTCGCTCTGCCTCAATGGAATTTAAAAACATTTTATTTCCCGATTAAAGCAGTGGGTCAGATGCTTTTGCTCTCGGCGAAAAGGTACAATGTTCATGTGTCGAAACATAAAACAGCTGTTTTACACACCAGTATAATGCAGATGGTTTAAAAACACCTGGTCTGACAAACACTGACATTTTCGAAAGCATCGTCAGATCTAAAATATCTAATACTCGATTTACAAAGAATTACATGTACTATCTTGTAATGAACGGACGACTGAAAGTGCATTTCAGCGGCGGCATTTTAGTTAATGTAAACATGAAGAATGATGGTCTATATTATTTCCTTCAATGACTGATGAAGGAAAGTGAACCTAGTGCAAATCCCAGTTCATTTCATTCGCACAAGTTCTCTCCTTTCGCCAGCCATCAAGCAAAAAAAATAGACGGTCATTCCTTGTTATTGTACATATTTATGTTAACGTTACTTATTGCTTATAAACATTTTATTGTTTTCTTTAATCTTGAATATTCTTTATATTTGTGAACTTCTTCATTATTATCAGGTGGCCATGGTAATAACTTACCATTGCATCTATATGCAAGGTTGGCAAGCTTGGCATCCAGGAAACTGACGAAATTTCTTTGTCCCATCCATTTCTGTACCAAAGGATCATCAGTTGTAATTGTCCGGAGCAAGCGTTGATTTTTTGAGAAAGCCTGATAGAAAAAGATCAATTTTTAATCGTAATGATGACGTCAATTTTATCTGACAATAATTTGTTTTTCATTTTAATGTGGATTATAACACAGGCATTTTTACTAGACTAATATAACCATGATTATCATTTTGCGAAATCTGACAGGTAAGTTCTGATATATACAATGTTTTTATTATGTCGTTCTATTTACTGTTGAAATTAAAATTGGCGCTTATTCAATTTAACAGGACTACATCATAATTTGGATATCAGCAGCTTACCGTAGATTTATAGTGCATGATGGAGCTAATGTCATAGGGCAATTTGTAGGTGCTGACTTTGGCGTTAGAGTACTTCTCAAATTGTCTGGCCTGATTGGTTGCTACGTTGTCGTAATTTATATGCACATACAGGTCGCGGTCTGGGCGGGACTGTTCATGTACAAATCCTATGGTATGGCCGAGTTCATGAGCTATTTGTCCATTCTTGTGAATACAAATTAGGAGGTTAATCAAAGCAATTGTATAATGAAATTTATTCTTGCAGTAACTTACGCATGGCAATTTTTATAAAATTATAACAACTTTATCATTGTAAATTAGATTATCATTACGAGTTGTCTATCAATTAGTTTCAGCGGTTTACTTTTTTATATTTGTTTACTATGTAACACTATTTCTACTCTATTATTTCATTGTAGTATTGATCTGTTACAAATGTATGAATTAGAAACTTTATAAATACTTTGAATATTAAATCAAATTTAAGTAATCTTCTATCTGGCATAAGATGAAAAAAGAAGTTTGATTTCTTCAACAGTTCTCAAACTTTATGTACTCAATACACTTACAGAACATATCATAGAAATGTTAATGAATTGTTTTCCACGAATTCTTCCAACATTTGCTATGCAACTGCAATTAAAAGAAATTCTCAGTTACATTTAAAATCTAATTACAAAAGTCAGAATGTAAATACTATTTTACATCATGCGCGTCTCTTACAAGAACTAATTGGACGAAGCGGCTTAATGGAATGTTTGCACAGAAAATATTCTTCTTTGCGGGTTTTTTTTTATATTTGTGATGTCTTAACCACTAATCTAAGCATTACAGCAATGTGAATTTAATTTAATCAGTTATCGCGTCCGTCCTATTTTGTGAGCTAAAATATTTAGGCAACTGTGCATGATCCAGGTTTTTTGGTTTTTCGGATATCTTACCCTTGCCCAGAGTCTGGCCACGGACGAATGAGTAAATAGTCCTTGTGACCCAACTGTGCACTAAGAGCCATAGACCTAGGTTTAAACCGGATACAGGTCTGGGACTCCCACATCTGTATTGCAGACTGTATATTTCCCCACATGTAGCTTCCGGGAGCTGAAAACGGGATTATATCTCTTTATCAAAATACAAATTCAGAGCAACATCAAAATATTGTAAAACATCATTATCATGTTTTTATACATTTAATACTTACTACTAAGATATAAATATAATATTCATAGTGGTAGTAACATAACCCATAAAACATACATCTTGTTTCACTTTGGAAACTTTTTTATAGTTAAATATACCAAAGACAAAGTTTATATTTTCAATCACAAAATATTGCCAACAAAGTAGAATAATATTTTTTATCTTCATTTAATCATTTTATGTTGAGAAAACATCATATCATGCAATTAAGTGATCATTGATGATACTTTTTGCAATTGGAATTGTCGGAATCATATCCATACATCCGTGACTGGAGATCGATATGTACGAGAATCACGCATATTCATTCATTATTAAAAATTAAAATAATTGATATACTGACTATAATTCGAATGGATTTCGTAAGGAACTATAGCTTGGGGCCAGTAGGAGTTTGTGTCTGCCAGAATTTTTCTTTTCCTCCCATAACGTCCCGTTTTCTGAGCAATGACATCGTCCCGAATCGCTTTCTTCTGGAGAGGAGTCAAAACCATATCACCTTCAAATGTTCCTGGCAACGACTCTTCAAGTATGGCCCTTCTGTTTTGGTCGTTTTGGGTTAGAGCCTGAATTAGCTCCACTCGATTTGAATCCTGTAAATTTGTGATGTGTTAAACAGAGCCTAACAGATAAAAAGATAACTGGTAGAAGACAAAAAACAAAATATATTGTTGTAGACCGCTAAGAACTATTTAAATATACAACTGATTGTAATCGATGGTAAAATATAATTAAGTTGTCAAGCACGAATCCAGTCTTCCATACGTTTAAAAAAGGAAAATAATCATAGACGATATGACCATTATAACCTGAAATTTGATTAACAACTCGAAAGCAAAGCACGCGAACGAACAGCAGCTGATATCATTAGGAAAATGACGGAAAATCATTATTTCAATGATCAGGCTCTTGCAGCAAGGAGTTGAAATTGATCAAATTAAGGGTTTCCCTTTAACAGAAGTTGATGACTATTCTTTCAACAATCAGATGATATACGTTTTAAAGAGAGAATGTTGTTTGTCATGATGTCATTAGTAACAAAAACTTAATGTTACAAGATTACGTAACAGGCCAAACATATAGAGTCTTTTATTTAAGTACAAACCTGCACTCATACAAAGATACATTAATGTTTTAATCGATGTGGTTTCCATCAAAAACCCATATTAACATGTGGTGTTTTAATACAATAGGAAGTTCTCTGAAAAAAGTTTGATAATGATAATCATTAAACAAATCATATATTTCTGATTGTTATTTATATTTTCCGTTTTAAAGCTAAACCAACATTAAGAAATAAATGTACTTACCTGTATTGGTAAAGCATTGCATAAAAAACTATAAGCCAAAACCACTGTAAATAAATGTAAAGACATCATTGCACCGTACCACTCCATATTATGCAAGAAAAGTACACGCTAAACGTTATAAAGTGTCCACCTTAAACCTAATAACTGGCCAATCCAGGGGAGTTGACCGTTTCATTTAAAGTGTTCAATGTAAGCTAAAGTATTATGTATCTGACGACAGACCAAGGTATGCCTTTGTCGGTTTGATCCTGGTATTTATACAATTCAGACCGTAAATGTTATCACCTGATTTGTACCTTTCCCCATCCGTAAATCGCACCTGTCAATTAGTTCAGAGTCCACGCATTAAAAGATACGTCAACTTGACCGCATCAACCACTGAATATTTTCAGATGTACTGTTTTCTTGAATAAAGATATGGCTCTACTATTTTATCAAATGCTCTATAGTGTAAATGCATAGTATTGTCAATTCTTTTATAATGAACGAGAAAAAAAGAATAAAGGTATTTCGTTAAAGTTAAAATAACCTAACAGTAAGATGTATGCAATAAGGACATGTTTGGTATGACGTTAATTGTGGGGCAACAGATAGCATTGAGGAATAGTGTGTGGCTCGCTGTTGGTATGACGTCCGATAGAGAAAAACAAACATAAAATGTTAATCAAGGGCAGCCAATGCTTTGATGGCGACGCTTAACCTATAGGTACACTCGTAGGGCGTAGACGAACACATTGTGGTTAAATCAAGAACAATCGTGCAACCAAAAAATGTTATCTTAAGATGCATTGAATGACATTCTTTAATAAAAAAAAAACAACCATTTATTTTATATTATGGCATTTGTATATATATTTTTTGGCGTTTAAAGATCTACTTTTGACGTATGCAAAATGCACAGTTACTACAAACTTAAAGATAGAACTCTTCAGGCTGGAATGTCATTTATGTAAACTCGCAACTAATACTACAAAACTGTACACTAGCTATACACCAAACACATAAAACTACAAGCTTTGCACCCTGGGGTCAGTTCCTGTATATAAATCGTCTTCTCTGCATACTTTGGAAACAAAACAACACGAAACCTACACTAAAAATGAGGTTATATGATTTGATGAGGATTTTAAGTTGAGCAATGACGAACGGAAATTTTGATGAAAATAAATTACATCACATTTATTATGTTTCACATAACAAACTCTGATAGTGTACGTATATTACTTTGTTTGGGGGGGGGGTAACACAGAAATTGTCGATATGTCAACAGAATCTTAATTCAAACTCAACAACAGCGGCAATATATGAACAAACAAAAAAAAAGAGATTTACACCATCTAAAAGGACAAGAAGAATAAGACTATGTGTTCCGGAAGAGTAAACATCATCTGCTTCAATGCAACCAAGCCATGTTCCTTTTGGTCAAATTCAGTAAGCAAAATAAAAATGACTGAACAACCCTGCAAACCAACTAGCATCAAACACTTTAACACTATATCAGACAATGGAATAGGATAAAACCTAATGAGATCACAAAGTTTATCTACACACATATCTCTGGAATCTTTATTTTGTGGATTATTTGCAAACTGTCAACAACTTGCCTGAATATTGTGATTCCCTTGAATGTCTTATTACCTGTGACGTGTTAAAAGCAGTTTATGGAAGCATGGATACAGCTAACTACATAAAGGAAACCATTTCTTTGTAGAAAGGAGCGAGATAACCTTCTGCTATAAAAAAAATCTCATGTTAATGACTACAAATTCTGTTTGGATATTTGATTGGTTTGTTTGTGTTGTGGATGGTATGTGTACAGGTGGAAAAAAATCCTACATTGGTGATTATTTCTTGGGTCCATTAAAACACAAAACACATTGGGACTTTATAAACACATCACGGTATTCAAATACTACCAATTAATGGTACATCATTTAAAGTATATTTTATAGAAAATTTTCGTATCATTTGGTTAAGATGGATGATTAAAACTAAAATTTAAAAAGGGATTTTAACCTTGAATTCTTTGAAGGAAAAGTTTAATGTCAGATAGGATCAAATGGAATGTCACATGTATCCCATGTTTTAACATGCTTTGAAAGCGAAGGATTTATGTGAATTAATTCTAGATATGTTTCCGCTAAATGTCGTTCTTGTCATGTTTACTTCCCACACCATATTTCGTTCATTTGAAATCTTATCTGGGTTTCGCTACCTTGTCAGTCGTAAACAAGTTCTGCGTCACAACAAGCCACCACTGACAACGCTCCGTGCATGTGCGGACTCACGATAGGTTTTCTCATAAGGAAAACATGGTCCATTTTATCTTTACTTTATCTTCATTTTCATGATTCGACAATTCTTAAAGGAAAATTAATTAGATTAGGTCACCAACAGAGTACTAGTTATACACATTCAATCTGACTAGTTTGATGAAATCACACTAGGAAATGAAAGTATCTCAGTTGCAAATCAGGAAACATTTTCACTGGGTTTTTTTTTTTAAAGGTTAAGAAAAAGGCTATCAATTGTCCTTCTATAATCATGACACCTGACAATACAGACGAAATAGTTTTTGTTTGGAAATTGCATTGTTTTAATCTACAAGTTCTCGTCAGGCCAATTTCGCATTATTTTTCATATATACTTGAATATGAATATTGTAGTTTTTGTAAGTGCAATACGACGTTTAATTGAAGCTATTTGATTTTTTTTAATTATTATTATTTTGTAACATTAATGACCGTGGTTCAGTAATGTACCAAAAATCTACTTTACATCTCTTTATGATATTTTTGTTTAGTTTCTTAATTTAGATTTTTGTCAGACTTTATGTCGGAATCCATCGCTGGAGTTGATTCTTAATCCATTGTCTTATTGTTTTTTAACTTCAACAATATATATTGTTGAAAACTTTATCCATACTTGGCTATTTTCTAATTTCGAGTCCAAAAATGTTCGATTACTTCTTTTCCCAGGTCCTTTTTCTTAAACAAGACACCGCGATCGACGGATATTGAGTGTAATAATTCTCACTCAGGATAATCTTACTTCGGGTTTTAGCAATCATGATTATTTATGTGCTGTTGCACGTTTGATTCTTGCTGGAATACACTGAAATTGTATAACATATGTATTTGAAGCTCGTAAGGGTTTTCTACAATTATCCTTTTGAAACTTTATGTTAAACCTTATAGTTGCATTATTAAGTACTGATCATTTGATTACGATCAATATTTCACACATTTATGCATTTCTATATTATTGATTACCTGTCTAACAGAGTTCAAACCTTTTGTAGCAATGCTTGTATTTGATTCGTTAATTCAGTAGGCAAGACTTTCATAATCGAGTTTGGAATTTGCGCATTATTTTTAAAATGAAATCAATCAAGTCATTTTAGACTATAGCAACGAATAATTAATTATCACAACACAAAAAATAAAGTGAACAAACAATTCCTGTAAAGCGTGTTATTCGGTACTGACACATTCAAGTGTCAACACCTTATTATAAATTGGACAAAGATATTTAAGTGAATTTGATTTTGTATAGGGATTAGTAAAAGGACGTCAGTTATCTTTTAATATATGGATGATATAGCAGGATGGTAAACTTTAGCAAGGTCTATAAACTTTATATTCCCATAGCTCTTCCATACATATATCTTAATTTACAAATTAGAAATACATTTTAGATCATTTCCATCTTGAAATAATCATAACGTTTCCAGAAATAACTTTGTAATTTATTTTTCCGTAATAAAGCTAACAATACTTGACACATCTGTATTATGGAAATTAATTTAGAGTTGACATGAGGTAACATCACGTATTTATCATTCGGTAGGTAAGATATTGACATTACTCTGATTTCGATATCACACAATCGCAATCGCTGTCTTGCGTCAAAGTAGACCACTGTCCCAGATAAATAGGGTCAGACAGGTTATGTGATTATCATTATTCACGAAGATTTAATAGATGTTTGTTTACATTGAACTGAATATGATATAAGGTTTATAGAATGGAAATGTCTACTTAGTCACTATAGTTGTAAAAGTAAATGACGACGGAACGACAATGCAAAGAGGAAAACGAATACCACATTTATTACACCAAGACAAACATCAATTTTAATTACGTTGGTGTTCAAGACCAAGAACCGAGGAAGCAATATTGATTTACATTTTTAAATATTCACAAATAGCGATAACGGTATGACATCATACTTTTCAATTGAGTTGACGTCAACACCTCATTACATAGTTAATACCTGAAATATTGAGTGAACAAGAAAAAATCCTTACGTCAGAACCTGGTATCAAGATATTGTATACAACACTATTATTCAAAGTTGCTTAGGTGTTATTCTGAGCTTTACAAACGGGTTATGCATACGACAGGCATCTCGTATGATATTCTGTTAGGTAGCTAAGATAGGTATTACTGGAGGTCTGTACCTCAAAGTGACCATGACTGTTCATGGGGAGGCTTTCTCAAGACAAAGTCAAACATGTTAATGTATTTGGTTACCATTACTTGATTATGCAGATTCCGCAATAATATTCTGATGAACAATTAATGATTTATTAATGTCCGTTTCGTTTTCCTATATCTAATCAAAGCAAATTGGATATATACCAACACTGTGAGTTATAATGGCTGATGTAAGGCCATACTTTTCAAAATGTTTTGTTTTTAGTGTTACAGGTAGCAACGTGGTTAGGTAGACATCTAAAAAATTCCTGTTGGATTCAATTCTTACTATGCTTACTTTTATGATATATTCATACAATATATATCTATCAATATTCTGTCATTAATGAAAATTGACGTACTGTTTTCTGATATCAGGTCGGAAATTTCGAATGAATCGCAAATATATCAAATCTAAGTGTTTAAACTTTATGCATCCTACGATCCTCATCGGCATTAAAACGCTTTTCTGTTGGTTTACATACTTTACTTTACTTAAAATCTCGCTTGCTCTCCAAAATTGATTAAGAATTAATGTATATTTTCTAATTATACAAAAAATCAACATCAGTTTGACTTTCAACCCTTTTATATCAATTATATTTCCTTTAAACAAGAAAATGTTAACAATATGATTATGAAACATATGTATGAGCATTTTGTTTAATTTGCGTTTATTTAATCTTTAGTCTAGGGGACAACTATCAAAGCAAATATATACATTTCTCGCATATACTACAATCAGCTTATTCGAGACTGATGATATTCTGGAAAATATAAGTAAAGATGTCATTAAAACGCCAGAAATTTAGGACTTGGGCATCATCACACGACTAATTGCGTCTGTTTTTAGTCATATATTGCCATAAATGGTTGTAAACGAGTAGTAAAGAGTTGTACATTGGGAGTTGACATAGGGAAGTGACCGTTATTAAAAGGAAGTGACTTATCTCCATCCAATAGAATACGGGCACGTTTTCCGATATGAAAATCTTAGTCCATGTTTGATAGAACTGTTGCCACTCCATTATCTTTCGTTAACAATGATCGTCAACTTACTGAATATAGTGTTTATACTATTGTTGTTTTTATTGTTTGGTATTGAATAATGATGTGTATTAATGTAGAATTCGTGTGTACCTGTTTCAAACTATTGTTCATAGAACATTGATTTATGCTAATTTTTATGACGCTCTGGCTTAATAGCTCAAAATCCTATATATTAAGACCTGGTTGGCTATCCTCTATCATGCCTAATTGGACAGTTTTCCAGTAAATTAAAGACTGATACATTCTCTTTCCTTAAAGATTCTCGGACATTAAATCTATATCGTGATTATACCGATCGATACATTTGATCCGTTTCTTTGTTTTTGCTTTTCACCTTTGAACTGCCATTTAACTTTCATGTTCGAATTGGAAATAAACGCACAGAATCAACATGTGCTGATTCTAATGATGAAATACACTTTACATATTAATCGTGTATAGGGTACTGTATGAATGTTTATTTACTCAAAAACATTGTGTTTCTCTCGATGAAGTACCCGATTTCTACTAGGATTTAATCTGTTACGAAATTAAAAAGAACGCCAGAAATCGCCTTGTTAGAAATTAAAGTCTAGAAGTACAACCATACAAAATAATTTTAATCAACTGATATATTATCACATAATCCTTTATCAATTTTGTAATACAATTTCAGACCAACATCTTGTTTTTTATCAATTTATCAACACATTCACCAAACTTTAATAGAATGACGAATGAAAGATAGGTGACATAATATGATTTCGTATGCAAAACATAGCATTTCGAATTCTAAAAAACAGAGAATATTGCTATCTAAATTTGCATGAAAAAACCTCCCATATTAATCATTAGTTAACACCACTATACCATCATTCTGATACCTTCTGAGACTAATTATTAATAACACCGCCAGATACATTATTAGAATTATATACAATAATGTCAATTGATAAAACTGCATCGTCATCCTAGGATGTGTCGGCGATGCGTAAGGACTAAACGTTAAAACTTTAAATGTCATATAAAATACCCAAGATTATCAATCCCAAGTTTTCTAAACCATTGCTTACACTGCTTACATAGGAAGAAAACAAAGGAACAAACAAAAACAGTGAAAAATCCAATGACAAAATTTACTGCAAATTTGTCAACACATAGTCCATAAGTAGAACAGTCGTTGCAGTTATCTTTCTTTACCCTGTCTACCAGAATACAGTCGAATCTCGTTAAATCGAAGTCGACAGGACCATGGGAAAATTATCCGAGTATTCGTTTTAAGTAAATTTTAATATTTATTGTAAAGTGTTGCCAGGACCAATGAAATACATACGTAGTTCGAATTAGACAAGGTCTTCGAGTTGTAACAGTTCGACATAACGAAGATCCACTGTATTTCATCTCACTGACTTGTGATTAGAGCTTCGAGAGATTGTTGTATGACAAGTACAGGAGAACTCTTTCAAAGTAACGAATATTTCAAATAAAACTTAACATCTATTTCAAATTGATATCACACATTACTAAACAAGACCTGATTTTATTTAGCTTGCATCGGTAATGGTTTATACCATATTTGTCTTATTAGTAAGCGACAAATTTTATTACGAATGAGGAGATATGTTGTGTTTGTGTCGTAACTACTATTGTTCCTTTCATCTACGTCATACTATGGAGATCATTCATAAATTCATTTGTCACCGCCTTCTCCCACAGCGTCAGAGAGTTACATTTTTTGCCAACTACTGGATCTGAAGACATAAAAACGGTTTTATTTATACATGATGCATGTCAAATAAGGTTCAATGTCAAATTTTAACAACAAATGACTGTGGTTTTTAAGGTTTATTGGAAATCCTAGTCTCTTTTCCAATATAATTTTCAATATAAAACTGTCGTAAAGGTATTTTAGTTTACAAGGTAATTTTACATAATGATAGGATCGAAAATTGCTGACGTTCATCGAACATAACAATGCACATAATTGCGTACCTGAATGGGGAGCTTTGTTATAGCCAAGTTTGCCTTTTCTCCGACAGCAGCACAAGAGTTTAAATAGGTTCGTTGTAAGCTTAAATGGCAGTGGAATTCGTGGACGACTAGAGCATTCATGGATCAGCGTGGATCTCTGAAAGCACCAGTGAAGATGCGTCTCAGCTTGGACTTTCGCGTACGAGTTACTGAAAAGAAACGACAATAACTTGTTGGGTCAATGTGAATTATGTAGCGATTAAATTTCGTTAAACAGAATGAATACTGTCTTATTAGGAAAGAAAGCAAAAAACAATTGTAAATTATTCCCTTTTTAATTGATCTATCTGAAGATATTTATGTTCGAACATAAAAATAAAGGAATTGTGAGAGATAACAACAATGAGACAAATTTTCTAATAACAATGGCCATCAGTAACTTACCTGAACATAGCAATGAGAAGATTGAGAAGAAGAATACTTGCAAACAGCATATACATTCCCATCAGCACAGGGACTAAATATGAACCAATCGCTGTAGGACATCTTGGAATGGCTCCATTCTGGTAGATCAGTGGATCGAAACTGCAGTCTGGTTCTTTCACTAAAATGATTATATTTAGAGGGGTACATGTCTTAATCGTTGTAGAGTTTTGAAACAATACAAGGCAACATGTAATAAGATTTGAATGTATGCAATTAATCTCATATCTGTTTCAATAACTAATCAACTACAAGAAACTGGAAGATGTTTGCTCCATTATTGGTGACGCTCAATATCTAGTCTTAACATTAATGTCACCAAGAGTTTTTCTGACATAGGAAATAATAAAAGCTACGTACTTGTTTTCCCATCCCAAACATAGCGTGTGTATGCAATAGTTTTGAACAATTTATTAAATATTGTGTGAACAAAATGTCATGGAAATTTCTTTGATTTAAAGAGATAGTGTCAATAGAAATATTCATTACAAAATCATTTAACAATATCTTGATAGAACGCGCATGATATGAAAAACGCTTTCAACCAGAAAATCGACTGTGACACGTGCTAAGTATTGCGCAATTCTTTGTTGCGTAATATATACTGATATTAATATTAATTTATTAATTGTGTTTGTCCCGGAATGACATCGTAGTCCCATCGGTAAACATATTCAACTTTACCTCTCACGTCTGAACAGAGAAATAGAACCTCGATCATTTTGGTGAGAGGTGGATGTTATAAATGAAGCATGGTTGCTTTGATCATTAAGCTGTTCTTACGTTCAAGTACTTCCAAATTCAGTTCTCCATACAGATTCCAATACGGGATGCGAAGAAGATTGAAGACAAGATCACCATCAATCCTCGAGGCAGGGTATAGGTTTACATAAGCAGCAATGGCATATGTCATTACGCAGATTAATAAAATCGCAAGGAATGAAAGCAAATCAAAGAACTAAAATAAGAAAAAACGACATTTAAAAGACAACAATAGGAATTTTACCTTAAAGACGGAAAAAAGCAAAGATCAAGATATTTAAAAAGGTCTTCTTACCATTCTTTTGATCATCTGCAACTGCGGTCCGACATTCTCGTGAAGTGCAAATACTCCAAGGAGACTGAGAGAGAAACATATGAATGAAAAGGAGCAAATCATTCGCCCGAGACCCTCTGTGAATATTGCCGATTCAAACAAAAAGATACAAAACCCACAAACGAACAGAATCACTCCAGAAATATCCAGATAGTTCCATTTGTTCTGGAAATACGTTCCAGGACCGGTGGACTTCATCTGCAAATGACCAAAGCGGTAGAGGTTCGAATATCCTTAATTGGTTTATTCAATGCGTGATAAATCAACGTTTCTGAAAGTCTTGCAAAACTTAATTTTTTGATTGCTTGATTAAAACTTAGGTAAGATATGTATTGTAATTTTTTATATGTTATAAATCATGAAAAAAATCAATTTGTTCCCTCCACCAATTTTTGTGCAATAAAATGAAGCTGTATTTATAATTACGTAAATAACTTTGGATCGACCAAAATTCACTCATTTAACAATGAAACACACTTTAATAAACAACAAATGCCTTACTTGGATTATTTCGTCGCAGAACAAAACGGACACACACACTGCTAAGGCGACTTCAAATTTGGTGCAGGTAGTGTCGAATTTGGATAGCAGGGCATAGGCGAATAACATCAGAAATACTACATAGATCATCTGAAAAAATAAAGGAACGTCTCTAAATCAAAGCTTAAAATGCCTGAACTATAAAACATGTTGGCTCCATTTTAACAACAATGTCATATTTGATTTTGAAGGATAGCGATTGGATGATCAAGCTGAAGATGAAAGTATATCTAGGTTCATTTATTCAAAATGTAAAAGCATCCGGAGAGTTTGAAATCCTTTATTAGAAGTGATAAAGTCAAAAACATTAATTCATGTCGTTAATATAGCTTCTTTGTGATTAATCAAGTAGGCAGTTAAGTAAAAACAACCACATTTGTATTCCAAAACGGGAGGTTACTCTGAATTTATTGTGTTACATGTAAGTGAACAAGGAATTAATACTGGTCGGTAAGTGTAACGAAATTAGATTAATTCGTACACCAATAAACTGACACAACTCCTGATAATTTAAACGAGAAAAAAAACACAGCAAACATACAAAGTGTACATGTTTATAAATCACAAAGTTTTTTTTTTTTCTATTTAACTCCAACATCTACATGTATATCACATACGTAAATATGACTAGTACAAGCATGCTTACAGAGTTCCCAACAAACTTCACGACAGGTGCTTGGTAGAAACGTATAATCTTTTCACAGCTGCATATTCTATCGGAATTGCATGTTGACCTAAATCAAAATATTGACAATAAAACCTAATGTATTATCTGGTTATAATGACTCTTTTAGACAAAGTTCTTTGTGGTGACACGTACTTTCATTGAACGTGCATTTATGAAATCACCTTATACAGTTTCCACAAACTTTTTAATGATAACGGATAAATTCGACATTTGAGTGACTTGTTTGCGATGCGATCAATAACAGCATTAGACATAAAGAAAACAATACAAACTAGTGAAGAATGATAATTACCTTTTGGAACTCCACGTACTTGGGGATGTCTTTGTATGTAACGAAATAAATAACAATTGTTAAGGTAGATATCTTATCGTTCAAGAATTTACACTAAGTTCATTGAATTCTATATTTTATAGCAAAAACGATGTCACGAGGAAAATGCAACTGATATCTACTTGTTGGTTGTTCCTGTTACATGTTAGGTAGTGTTGGCAATAGGTCAATGTAACTGTTTATGTAAAAGTAAATAGCACCTTTAATACAAATTTAGAATGTCATGCAAAGGCACCAAATAATGTATTAAACGCATCATAGAACTGTTTTGTCCTTCCATGATTCGTCAGAGATGCTAAGAGACACAGTTTGAAATATTTGGTGATGTCGTCAATCGTTTAAAAGTTTCCCACAAACTTAGCATCACTGACGAGTCCTAGAAGGACGAAACAGCTGTATGATGCTGTTCAATTCATTGTTTGACTTCATTCAGAAATATTAAAATGCGCTGTTTACTTGCGTGTCTTTTGTACAATCCATAAGTAAATACTAAAATGAGTAATTATTGATGATAAAACATTCCTGCACTTAGCTGACCTTATTTTGCTTTTGGAATTTCGTATCATCCTCTTTGAATGTGATAAGGCAAGGTATCAAAACTTGCATCGGTGGCACAACACACAGCGGCAGCTTAAACTAATACAAAGAAAACGTAGAACATAGATATCAATTAAAAAACTTTGTTTGCAACATATATTTAGATGAGTATGAAATGTTTATCAATGCCTGCGCAAATGCTTTCTATTTCGTAGATGTTTACATCATTTTGTTTCACAGCATACGTAATTATTAGTTGTCACTTATGAAGAAGACTGTTTAATTCATCGGTTTTTATTCAGGAGGCAATGAAATGTAACACCCATAGCAATAGTATATGTAAAATATTCGATCTGTATTTTCTTACCCAGGTCCATCGATTGAGAAGTGAAATATCACCCATCCACTCCTCACTAAGAAGTGATTGGAAGAACGGGTGAGCGATAAAACTTTTGTTTTCTGTCATTCTTGCTATCTGCCTACATGTCGCATTACCCCAATCGTCCATTTGTGTTGAAAGCATTTGCGATGTCTTCTTTTCGCTTGATTCTCTGCATTTGCTCAACAATGTTTGTGCAAGTTGACAAAATTCACTGACAAATAGAATAAGCAACTGTTCATAAAATTGACTTTTTTTACCTTAAGCAGGTATAGATGCTGTCGTCAGCAAAAATTGTCAATTTTAGCAAATGAATTATCAAAAATTAGAAAATCCCTATTCAAAACAGTAGACTATTTCTTCTCCGTTGGATCTGAACTCTCTACATGGGCATATTATTGGCAAATAATTAATGTCTTTAATGTACATGAAATTGACATCCAAGATACAACCGTGCTTTCACTGAATTGAATACTTTTTGTTTATCATCTGCCACTTATCTCGATCTTTTTTACAACAAAATCTCCAGGGACAGCTGTATAATAAGTGAGATGATTTCGATATGTGAATTATTCATTTCTCCCTGCTTCTCGAATGTCTGTCACGATTTAACGGTTTTAATATCACATCGACAGCGGACAGAAAGATTCATAACAGATGGTTTCGAACGATACAGGTCGGAGATGACTTCAGGAATGTTGTATCGACGTAACAGTGATATATATAAATATATTTCAGTATGCGATGTGACGTTGATCGTGTTCAATGCTCGTTTTTACGGCTTTTGTTGACACTGCTGTATTCCTTGTGTTTCTTTTGAGAACAAGACATTATTTACTCGGAATTACCAATATGGCGTCGATGAAGATCAGGACGCTTCCGTTTCTGGAACATCTGTTATTCTCCCTGTCTTATTCATGGGTTTTGCGTAATTCCTTTATTTATTTACTTATCATATTTAATTGAATTTTGACCTTCTCAAATGTAATAGAATATTGGCACGTATCAATCATATTTATTGAGGAGAAATTTGTTCAAAATACGTTCACCGCTAAAGAATATAATGCGTATTACATTATCAGTTGTAGCATTGGTTACTTCTACATGTGCATCAGATAAACCTATTGCCCGAGCTGTAGTTAAAACTGTTCTTACTCTGCATGACTGTTCATTGATATCTCTAAGTCCTTATTTTCAATCAGAAGGGCCATCTTCTTCAACAGTCCGTATGCAACCAAAGCAGCGGCAATCTGGTCCTACATTTCAAGCAAAATGATTAATGTAGTAATATTAAAATATTTGAATGGGTTTGTTACGATTTAGTTTCGACAAAATACAGGGCAAGACAAACATGATGAATGCTAAAAAGATTTTTTCGTGTCAAAAGGATGAACTCTTACGCCAACAAACTTACAGAGTCCAATAACCACAATTATTTATTAGTTATGAGAATGTTTAAGAATTATTTTTCTACTAAAAAATATGTGCAACATGTAAGTTGTCCAAGGATTAATATTTATTTTATTGAAAAAAGAATAACAATTTACCTTTCCATACTTCCAAAATAACTTTGCCATTTCATGTCTGTTTGACAGGATACACCACAACAACAGATGTTGAAACGGATTATCTATGGTGCTAGTTCCCTTCTTTGCATACAAAGGATGGATGTCATAAAATGTCCCAAGAAGAAGAGTGATCAGTTTTCCAATATTCACCAAACATGTTTCCTGTTAAATAAACATAATTTGGTAAAATATCAATGTAGTACCCCTCGTTTTATCATAATTATACTCAGGGGATAAAGATTCTAGGCAAGACGTCAAGTATAATATTCAATATTTTAAAGTCAGAATGAGGATAAATCCATACAGAACAAACTCAAAAAATGAATAAAACAGAAGTCTGTATTCTAAAATCGAAATGAACTTATTGTAGGAGCTGGTTAGTTAATACCGGGTATGTTCCCCATTCGAGTCTCCACAACCCTGATTCTGCTTGGTTTGGAGTTCATGAGTGAGTTTATTCTCCTCATTGAGATGTTGGCCTATAATTCCAAGGGGCTGTTCTCAGTTGGGCCAGAGTAACAGGGAGAGACTGGCGTCGTCGAACCTATCTATCCAGCTGGTCTCCATACCTAGCGGCAGGTAAATTACCCGCTGCCACAAGCAGTTGTAATTTAACTCCATGTGGGATTCCTCTCAACACCAAACCGATCCACCCAAAACCTGTCGTCGGTATACACGCCGTCGACCGTCAGCTCGAAACAGGTTGAACAAGTAAACAAGACCCAACTCTACTCCCTCAATGGGAATTCTAGGGGTATGTGCCGCCACCCAAGCCATACGACGCTGGCGACGAGCAGCGTTAAGGGGCAGACCTACAAACGGATGACGTGTCGACAGACCAACTTCCCGCAATCATTTCTTTGCAGTTATCGCTTGGATAGAACGGTTATGAGTACCTATGATATAAAGGGTAGATTCAGTGGCAGTAGGGTGCCATTTGCAAATGCGCTAACGAATAATCTTGTCCTGATGTTGTGACGTTGAAGACTACTTAATGGTAGGACGAGCAGTTTAACTCAAGGTAACAACACTGCTGTCCACGAGATTTTCCCGTTTCGTGCTTTCCCCGGAAGACATCGTCACGCAATGTAATAATGCAACATTCGATGCAGGACAAGTTAAATATATTAAAAGATATTTGTATACACTACCAATAATCCTATAAGACCATGTACTCCGGAAAATTAAGCGTCTTCGACGACATCCATCATGTAAACATTTGTCAATCCAAGAAAATAATGCCACGCTCTCAATTGAGAACAAAGTATACAATAACGGAGTCAACAGGCAACGTAACGGGCATCAAACACGTTCAACTTAATATCGCACAAGAAAATAGAAAATTTCTCAATAAGATCACTATAAAATCTGCATGTCTGGAAACCATGAAAAACTAAATGTTTGATTTTTTAATGCTTTTTATTGTTTTATTTTAATACTTACGTCCTTTTCTAGTTCGGGTATTTTCCTTACTTTCCACATAATAGCTCTTAAAGCACCGTCATTTGGAATCTGTGGGCAAAGCGTATCTAATTCACATTACATGTTAATGGATTACAAATTCGATGTTCTTAAATACATATTATGGTCTCATGGATGTCAGTTATTGTATGTAGAGATATTTTTGTTTTTCTAAAACTTCATTTTTCTAAGGTTGTTATCACAAAGAAATAAAACTCCTTCTCATTATCAAATGCAAACGTTTACATAAGACATATATACGTTCTTACAGTAACTAACAACAGTAGAAGATCATAGTTATATCAAGAGTGATAACTGAAATCGATCTGAAAAGTACATTACCTAATATGATATAATCAAAACCAACCTCGCAATAAAGTTTTGTGAGCATGTCTTTCGACAAATAGCTAGTCATGTCCATGCCTTTCGCTAGAAAGATTTCCATGAATTCAGATCTGTCCAATACCAGAGCAGAAGTAATCATCTCGTTGTCATTGAACGCTGCATGGAGATTCTCCCTCTATTGATGCAAAAAAATGACAAATTGTTTGAGACCAGAACTGACTGCAGCGCAGCTTCTCTATTAAGGTTATCTTCCTACTAAAAATTACCACAGTTCAAATTCTGTAAATGTACATGTCGATTATATCGGTCTTCGAGATGAAAAAAGATTATTCAAAGACTATCTTTTGGTTTCGTGTAGCAAAAGACCGACTAATGTAGAAGTGTTTGGCATGGCTTTGATTTCCAATTCTGACGGGTAAATATGATGGGCGTGGTCATTAAATTACTTGTTATTTATAGACGAGACATCATCAATATATCATCTGAAAGTGAAATCAAACAATTTTGCAATGTCTTTGTGACCTGATTTGGTAAGCTTTTCGATTACTTCAACCTCGTATGAAAACAAAAACAAGTTAACCAACAGAGGGACACATTTAGTTCCCATAGGTATGCCATTAGTCTGTTAGAAGATCTTACCACCAATCTTGAAGAATAAGTAAACTTACACTTATATTTCGCATGATATCGTTGGCGGTATCGATTCTATTCCAGTACAACGCAAGCTTCAGTTGACTGAGGCTCCTGTTTTCTCTTTCCACTGAGGCAAATAAAGAGAGATATTTACACCGATTAGCCTAATATCAATTCAAGATCTTTAGATTCGCGTAAATCTAATTATACTAGTTTAGGAATGAATGAATAAAGTTTTAACAGCTCTAAGTTATATCAAGTGTTCACTCTTACTAGAGTCATTTATAGACAATACTATTTTTCAAACAATTTATATATAATGATTCATCTGACTAGATTGCCATTTTCATATATAAGTGCCAAATGTATAAAAGTGAAAGGAAAATTGTTTTTAAAATGTTCTACCTCTGATAGCAATGTATGAGTATTAGTAATATTGATGTAGCTATGAAATACACTCTTGTCAATAATAACAACAAATACATACCAATAACACAGAGACTCCTGATAAAGGAGATTAAGACCAATGGATTTTAAGCTGGATCATTTTATTCCAGAGAAAAGAGACAATTAGCAACTTATGGTCAGTGGTATGATCAACATACATGTTAACTAAATGATTCTTCTTTCAAAACGGTTTGACCTACCATTCCGCAGTGCCGTCAGAATCGCTTCTCCCATTTCACTAGACATATTTGATGTATCCGTCATATCGAATACCGTAATCAGACGTCTCTTCTCCATACATTCGTAAACAGCCGCTTTATGGACTTCAGTCACTCCTGTTAATTTTCTTAACTCTGACTCCCATCTCATTCTGAATGATTTTTCACTGACTTATTTGATAAAATTTGCAGCAAAGTAACGTTTTTGTAGCAATAATTTTCAATATGTGAAGGAAATTCGATGGAAATTACATATCCAAAATACTGATACAACCAGCATTGTGATAAGTAATAAATATCATATTCATTTATCAAATTCGACTGCCTACCACTGAAGTTGAAGAAGTGATTTTACCCAACCTCTTACAACTGAATTAGACATGATAAATCCGTCATCCTCTTTCTGTTACTTTAATAGACATGAAAAATTCAACCACTGAGTTCAACATTCTAACCAATCCAATTTCCTCCCAAGCAATAGGATATTTCAAAACAATTTTACCTCATATCACTAAATCAAACATTACACAGATGTGACATCCTATCACTCCATTCTAACAAATCAATCATTTTACCACTCCAATATAACGATTATATCATCCTACTATTACTATCAAACATATCCAACACCCTTTCACTACAATCGAACAACTGTATCATCCTAATACTCCATACTAATAAAGCTATCATTTTACCACTCCATACAAACAAAGCTATCATCTTACCACTCCATACAAACAAAGCTATCATCTTACCACTCCATACTAACAAAGCTATCATCTTACCACTCCATACCAACAAAGCTATCCTTTTACCACTCTATTCTAACAAATCTATCATCTACCACTCCATACTAACAAATTTTTCATCTTACCACCACAATCTAACAAAGCTATCATCTTACCACTCCATACTAACAAATCTATCATCTACCACTCCATACTAACAATGCTATCATCTTACCACTCCATACTAACAAAGCTATCATCTTACCACTCCATACTAACAAAGCTATCATTTTACCACTCCATACTAACAAAGCTATCATTTTACCACTCTATTCTAACAAATCTATCATCAACCACTCCATACTAACAAAGCTATCATCTTACCACTCCAAACTAACAAAGCTATCATCTTACCACTCCATACTAACAAAGCTATCATCTTACCACTCCATACTAACAAAGCTATCATCTTACCACTCCATACTAACAAAGCTATCATTTTACCACTCCATACTAACAAAGCACTCTACCACTATACAAAGCTAATCAAATCTATCATCTTACCACTCCATACTAACAAAGCTATCATCTTACCACTCCATACTAACAAAGCTATCATCTTACCACTCCATACTAACAAAGCTATCATCTTACCACTCCATACTAACAAAGCTATCATCTTACCACTCCATACTAACAAAGCTATCATCTTACCACTCCATACTAACAATGCTATCATCTTACCACTCCATACTAACAAATCTATCATCTACCACTCCATACTAACAAAGCTATCATCTTACCACTCCATACTAACAAATCTGTCATCTTACCACTCCATACTAACAAAGCTATCATCTTACCACTCCATACTAACAAAGCTATCATTTTACCTATATCATCTACCAACAAAGCTATCATCTTATACTAACAAAGCTATCATCTCCATACCACTCCATACTAACTCCAAAACAAAGCTATCATTCCATTACCACTCCATACTAACAAATCTATCATCTACCACTCCATACTAACAAAACTATCATCTTACCACTCCATACTAACAAAGCTATCATCTACCACTCCATACTAACAAAGCTATCATCTTACCACTCCATACTAACAAAGCTATCATCTTACCACTCCATACTAACAAATCTATCATTTTACCACTCCATACTAACAAATCTATCATCTACCACTCCATACTAACAAAGCTATCATCTTACCACTCCATACTAACAAAGCTATCATCTTACCACTCCATACTAACAAAGCTATCATCTTACCACTCCATACTAACAAAACTATCATCTTACCACTCTATACTAACAAAACTATCATCTTACCACTCCATACTAACAAAGCTATCATCAACCACTCCATACAAACAAAGCTATCATCTTACCACTCCATACTAACAAAGCTATCATCTTACCACTCCATACTAACAAAACTATCATCTTACCACTCTATACTAACAAAGCTATCATCTACCACTCCATACTAACAAAGCTATCATCTTACCACTCCATACTAACAAAGCTATCATTTTACCACTCCATACTAACAAATCTATCATTTTACCACTCCATACTAACAAAGCTATCATCTTACCACTCCATACTAACAAAGCTATCATCTTACCACTCCATACTAACAAAGCTATCATGTTACCACTCCATACTAACAAAGCTATCATTTTACCACTCATACTAACAAATCTATCATCTTACCACTCCATACTAACAAAGCTATCATTTTACCACTCCATACTAACAAATCTATCATCTTACCACTCCATACTAACAAAGCTATCATCTTACCACTCCATACTAACAAAGCTATCATCTTACCACTCCATACTAACAAAGCTATCATCTTACCACTCCATACTAACAAAGCTATCATCTTACCACTCCATATATCATTTTACCATTTACCACTCCATACTAACAAACCACTATCATCTCCATACTAACAAAGCTATCACCACTCCATACTAACAAAGCTATCATCTTACCACTCCATACTAACAAAGCTATCATCTTACCACTCCATACTAACAAAGCTATCATTTTACCACTCCATACTAACAAAGCTATCATCTTACCACTCCATACTAACAAAGCTATCATTTCACCACTCCATACTAACAAATCTATCATCTACCACTCCATACTAACAATGCTATCATCTTACCACTCCATACTAACAAAGCTATCATCTTACCACTCCATACTAACAAAGCTATCATCTTCATCTACCACTCCATACTAACAAAGCTATCACTCCATACTAACAAAGCTATCATTTTACCACTCCATACTAACAAAGCTATCATCTTACCACTCCATACTAACAAAGCTATCATTTTACCACTCCATACTAACAAAGCTATCATTTTACCACTCCATACTAACAAAGCTATCATCTTACCACTCCATACTAACAAAGCTATCATTTTACCACTCCATACTAACAAATCTATCATCTACCACTCCATACTAACAAAGCTATCATCTTACCACTCCATACTAACAAAGCTATCATTTTACCACTCCATACTAACAAATCTATCATCTACCACTCCATACAAACAAAGCTATCATCTTACCACTCCATACTAACAAAGCTATCATCTTACCACTCCATACTAACAAAGCTATCATCTTACCACTCCATACTAACAAAGCTATCATTTTACCACTCCATACTAACAAAGCTATCATCTTACCACTCCATACTAACAAAGCTATCATTTCACCACTCCATTCTAACAAAGATATCATTTTACCACTCCATACTAACAAATCTTTCATCTTACCACTCCATTCTAACAAAGTTATCTGTCATCCTTCCACTCCAATCTTACAAATCTATCATCTCAAAACTCCATTCTAACAAATCTATCATCCTTCCACTCCAATCTTACAAATCTGTCATCTTACCACTCCATCCTAACAAATATCTCATCCTACCATTGCTATCACACATATCCAACATCCTACCACTCCAATCTTACATATCTATCATCTTACCACTTCATTCGTGGTAAATTATGTGACATTTGTATTGAAAATATCCGTATGTTAACACCACACATATGTTAATAAAACCGGATAATAATAATAATTTTTTATTGAACATTTTAATGTTACCTCTCTGCTCTAGGTTTTTCAGCACATTCGCAGGCTAAAGCTAAGACGTCAGCTGCTTTTCCAGAACCCTGCAATATCAATGATGCTTTGTCAAACTATTTTTCACCTCTGAAATAAATTTGACATAATGCAAATCATCAATTTGCTATTTTCTCACAATAAATACAACGTGTTACCTTTTACAAGCAATGTAAAAAAAAAAATTGATTAACTTTAGCATGTACTTTGTTTCAACGGCAGTAAGACATAATTCAGTATAAAATGAATTCCAACATAATGTGTTGCAGTTTTGTGTTCTGACACACTTTGTTATCTTATTTTGACGGCTTACTTGACGACGTGATCTGGTTACAATCGTCAACAATTTCAACGTTTGCTGTGGGCAAAAGTACTCATCTAAAGTACTCCTCCAAAGTATAATTCTGAAAGTCTTGGGTAGATTTCAAATTAGTACACATGCGTGAATTCCGACTTGGTGAACAACTTTCAGGCTTCTTTTAGGACCCGTAAACAACTAATTCAGCTTCGTTTTTTATCTTGGAAAAATGTCTAATTTGGGAGAATATTGCAAAACTTAAGACAAGGCCTCCTATTCAGGCAAAATATGATGTTTTGCTTATAATTTACTTTTCAAAATCAAACCACCAAATCATCATCCGGCAAAAAAATTAATACTAAAATGATTTTACTTTTCAGATGATAACATCCTTAAGGGCGTGATTGGAGGACCGGCACAGCGGCTATGAACCAGGTCAACCAACAGGGCTGGTTCCAGACACCAGCCCCGCGACATATGTTCTCTTCTAAGTATCCTTAGGTCGCTGATTTCTTGAGTAGTTTACCTTAACAAGAACTGTTGGAATCCCACCACAAACTGCCTCTTTCACTGTTTTGATTGTATTTGGCCCTCCTTCAACAACCAGGAGAACAACGGGGACCATAGCCTCTGTAGAGTAAACACAAGTACATTTTGTTCTTTGTGTGCTTCTGTGATATTTCAGTGTCCCTTTCAAGTCATGCATAGAGAAAAAGGGCGCTTAATTTGTATATTTTACTAGTTATTGTAATGTTATTCGTAACGTGATATCTCTTCAATGCGTGTATAGCACATACCAAGTAATATTCTGTATCTGTTGGTATTAGGCTACCTTGACATTATATAGTCATTGATTCGATTGTGTTTGAAAGAAGTCAAATGTTCACTTGACAATAAGAGTCAGTAATGAGCTAAATAAGATCTGTAATATATTTTTAAGGAAATTATAGTATGAGATCAAAATGTACAATAGCGAGAGGAAACCATCTTCATATTTACCTGCCCCAGTAGTTCTAAGTTTTGACACTGCCATTTCAATCCCTGCTCTAAATGATATCTCTTTCCCGAATTGCTGTTCCGTTCCATCATCGACAAGTATAAAATGAGAGTGATTTGGATCCAGATTTGTCTCGTTTTCATTTTCATTTGTTTTCTGATTTGCCAAGTAAACATCGTCCTGTTGAATATTGTTACCAAGGTCCTCTCGATATGCTACTACACCAAATGTAGCTATTCCTATGGCAACAACGGAATTTGGTTTCAAGTAATTGGCGTCACGAACAGCCTCTCCGACTTCTTTCATGATGCCACAGTCACTTCCTCCACTTACGACCCAAATATCTTTGTAATGAAAGAGTGCACATGGTATATACGAACAATAAAGATAAATGGTTTTAGATATTGTAATTTAATTTTTATTATTATATTATTGAAAGAATTAGAAACAATATATGTAGTTTTTTCTTCAGTTATTTACTTGGTTTCCTATACATAAATAATATATTCATTAAATGCGAAGTTGTATTTGTCGTATGACAATTTCGATATCCTACCAATCAGATATGCTTACCTATTGTCCTGGCTAGCTTGATGAGCTCGCGCTTGAAGATTGTTCTCTTGTGCGTTACCAATTCAAAAGATTTGGCACCTCCTGTTACAGAGATTAGGACACTAGGCGTTTTGAGGCCCCACTTTTCCATTAATTGTTTTAATATTACTCCTGCCTCTTTATCGTCATCATTTAGGGCTTGTGATTTTTTTATGATTGCGTACTGGAATATAAGAGCATTTTTGACATGCTGGAATTATCAGAAATGGTTTTAAACTTAACGATAAAAAGACCAAACTGAGTTTCGTTTCAGAATATGGACATAAAAGGTTGACGATACACTTAAAAGGATATGCATGAAACCATCGGTTTCAAGTTTAAAATATCATTGCTAAAGTTTGATCAATCTTCTTAAATCGCTTTTCTTACTATTGAACAAGGACTATCATTTTTTGCTCCTAGACATATTTTTAGGTAATTAAACTTCTCCGGGGTAATTAAGTTATACATGTAACTAGAGAGTAACTCTTCTCTTACGCGTCTTTTGTAGAATCCATTAACGTGTTTTATCGTTCCTGTATATAAACTGTTCTCGAGTGGTGTATTTTTGCTCTATTCTGTTCTGTTGATGTTAACCTTATTACCATTGATGAACATAATATTGTTTAATTGTATTAGCAAAGATTTTTTATCATGGGGTTTGAGCTCATATTCTGATGTTTCTTTAACATGCCGATATCTTATTTATCTTGACAATGTCGCACCGTTTATCTGACAGATGTACTCTTCTCCATTCAACTTATGTGATAACAATAAGAGGCATTGGTGAAGTGTTTGATTTTTTTTCTCTAACTCCGGCCTTTACGACACTTTTTGTTCATTTCATTTATGCTATTCCGACAGGAAATGCATTAAGCTAGGGACAGGGAATATAACTGAACTCACCTATTAATGTAGTACATTCGACCAGAAGCGTACATATAGGCAACATTTGTCCTCGTAACAAGACAAAGAATCTTTGTTCTATTTGTCTTCAAGGAAATTAAGATCCCTGTTTTGATCCCTTTTTATTTTCAATTTTTTTCTATGGACATTTATATCTGCATTTTCCCTTCCACAAACAAATATACAAAATTAATATCGATATATTATGGTAAACACAGAAAAAATTTAAATATATGGCTAAGGATGCAAATAAGTCATCTGGCATAAATTTTCGCAATCTGTAAATCGTATGTTTCCTGTTTTCTCATCCCAATGCCATTTATCAGAAGAGTGAACTGTTCCCATTTTGCACTGAAATTCGAAAATATTCCATTATTTCACAATTTTCACAATATCCATGTAGATTTTATCAAAAAATAATCAAAACAGTTGTGATATAGAGAGTAATACAAATATACGATATTTACAGATATTGTCAAGCAACTGTGTTTTATTCAGGTTTTTGATGCTGTTAGTACACCATTTGAAACAGAAATTAAAGCAGCTTAATACTCATATAGCTGTATCCGAACCATATCATTACACTGACATTATATTATCTGACAAGTATTCGCTGGATACTTGTAGTACTAGGATAAACCATTATTGCAATGAAAATTATGTCAATGTGGTGGCTTTAGAACATTGTCGATTGAAACATCTTTCATGCAAATCTATTAACTGCATTTGCTGGTCATCTCAAACTGCTCTTTACTTTCATCACTGTTCATAAGCAAGTGGGCTTAAACTGTTTTTAAATTTTAAAATATCCTCCTTCTGCTGTCGAAGACTAGCCTTGAAAGTCTCTTTTCTTTGTTCACATTTTGTCCTATACTTTAGCCTTTTTGAGTTTAAACCATGCCTTTTTTGTCAAATGGTATAATTATTTTTGTGGAGTTATATCACGTATATAAAAAGTGTGAGAAAGACTTTATTAGTAATATGTTTTTTTTCGCTACAGCAAAGCAGACATATCCTTAATGACTTAATACATCAGTTCCACCACAAACTTAGATATAAGTTCGGGGTTACACAGAGTTTGAATTTTGTTGGCCATTTATCTTTAGGGCACCGGTGTAATAAAATACTATCATACAAGCAATGCTAGGATCTAATAAACAAATGTGAACGCCCTCTCTTGCAAACATGAGTCAGGGTCAGCTAAGATGACGAGGAGTCCATGCTTCACAAACATGTGTCGATTGTAATATTAAAACTAGTACGTTTTTGATGTAAATATTTACCGGCTGATGGGTAAAAAATTATAAAAAAAAGTTTTAACTTTTGTATCATTAAATATCGGCATTGACGAATACCGTATGTATGTGCATGAAATCGGTATTTTTAGAATATGAGGTGAAAAGGGATGTGATAGTAACGATTTTATTCCTAGGATTCCTTATTAATACTTATGCTATGTTTCTACATCATTCGATCAAGAACGTACAAATTAGGCTAAAAGTACTAATACCTAATAATACCATATCATGGTCTCAAATTCATTGGAACTACGTTGGTTATATACATAATCTGATCATTTTTATACAGCTTTTGACATCTATATGATTAACTCTGTTTTGGTCATGCGCTATTGATTATGTTTTCAAGAAGTGCAAATGTATTTGTATAAAAGTTGTTTTATATATCCGTATTAAATAATATTTTAACAATGCTGATTATTATCTTCATTTTTTAGATTAGAAATATATCCACTGATACAAATATTATGACGTGACAAATGGTACAGGATTTAGTGAAAGTTTTATATTTTATAAGTTATTAGTAAATATAGTAAGATGAAATATTCGTCGGTTGTTTCCATATCATTATACCAATTTCATATCAGCTCTGCAATAGCAATGGTTAGAGGAATGTACATGAGTTTCAAAAAATATAAAATTTACTTAATCAATTTTAGACATCTTTTCACTTTCTGGACCACTTCGGAAACGGTAAATGAAATGACGAAATACATAATATTACACAAAATGACTACGAATATAAGATTTCGCTCATTATTTTTACAAACATTATGAAAACAGCATTATGTCCGACAGATAAAAAATCTGTTATTATGTTTCTCTTTTTGATTGAAATGACAAGGCATATAGTTGTGATGATACAATTGGAACTATCATTCTATTAAAGTTGCGCGATGTCATATTACATATGTGTAACAATAAGAAATATGTGTTTGATTTACTATAACAGGATTGTTATTATAGTTTAATATGTAAATAGATAACAAATTTGTTAGTTGAAACAGAACACGACAAAACTCAGTGACGATAACATACATATAGGTTTCTATATGCAGATACCGTTGTAATATATATAGTAACTTATCAAAGAGAAAGAAACATTTGTTACTCACCAGCTTTGATTAAAATTATTATTTGGGATGGTATGAGCAGCCTATCCAACAGTCCTGGTGTAGTGGTATGATACAAATATAACGAGTTCATTTACATGTGTCTCTAGTCTCGTCGCATAAACAACACATATGTTTATGTGTTTCCTGTCCTAATGTAACATACATGACGTAGCAATTGTTTTTACATGGAAAACAAAGATAGCCCTATTGGGCGGCCTAACATAATAATTTACAAACTTAAATTACACCAAAGATGGATCTAAGTAAACCGCTATGGCAATGACGATATTATTTTGGAATTATTAAATATCACAGTAATTTGAACAAAAGCCTCCAGTAGTAATATTTTCTTTAAACATAAGATTTAACCCTTTATGTGCCTCAAAACAACCATAATTTATCATCTCAACTGTCTTGAAACAGACTACAGTTGATGTATAATGTGAGCGTATACCTCAAAGCATAGACAACTATATACAACTACATATATCTATGTAATAGTTCACATAATAAAATTTTACAATGTATCAGCTAATGAGTGTTGAACTGCCAACAAAATCTGCTACCTTCGTAATATAAATTACCTGTCATCTGTATCTACAATCGGATGTTAAATGATTTAAGCATATACTTTGAAGATGTAAACAAAGTACGTGTTGACCATCAAATCGCAGAAGAATTTACTACCTTGATCAGATGTCTAAATAAAGGTTTTTTAAAATGTAGAAGATGACTCAATGATAGACAAATAAGCGTGATGATGACTTGTACGTTTAAGTTTTTAGCCTGACCGCAATTTTGCAATAATGAAATTTTGTATCCGTGACTTTGCCTCTCTATCAAATAGATGATGTTAATATTATGTGTATAAAAGTGCTTTAATTGTCGTAATATCAACCAAATTCAACACAAATTAACACTAGCACAATTTTGTTTGAAACAGCCCCTCACATGTTTTTAGCCAATAAAAACGCTTCTTGCACCCATTGTTGACGTCGAAGCTCAACCTCAGCCATGTCGGGTCAGAATGTGTATATCGGGGCATATGAAAAGGCATAAAATGTTTCTCTGTGTATATCATCTGTCAACATTGTTGTTTATGTTGATTCATAATGTACGTACCCTAAATTCGTCATATATATTTCTGCATGATGAAGGTGTTTGTTCACTTAAATAAGTTGATAAAACAACGGATATCCTGGAGAGGCATCGACAAGAAATCATGTCGGCAGATTAATACGAAGTTGTCAGTACGTTTCTTTCAAATTGTGTATCATGTTGTATAGAATTATTCAGTAAATGTTGGAAACAATATAAATAGTAATTTGAATGAAATTAATATCACGATGATAATGAAACGTCATACCTTTATAAGGAATATCACGATGTCACTTTCACTTTCACTTACGTTTAAAACTATCTACATTAAATCTATGTATATCGTATACGTAAGTATCTTGTACATGAAAGTGCAATATGTCATATGCACATCATTCCTTAGTCATCTCTACTTAGGTGATACCGTGTAAGATCATTTCGATGGTTTTTATGTAAATTTAATAAATCGTTATATTTGATTCATCAAATTAGATAAGTGGAAACATTTCATTGGCAGGAATCAATCTGATCACGAGGTCTCTTAAATGTTTCCTTAACATAACTACGTCCACAACATCCTAGAAATTAGGCGAGGTCTTCAAGCAATCTGGATAATCCAACTTTGTAAAAGATACAGTTCTCATAAAAGTTTGCAATTGTCAGAAGTAAATATGAGGCCATTCCTGGTAGTACAATATAATATACAAGGAAGAGGTTAGAACTACTGTACATAACTTCACAGGTATGGAGAAATGGCAATAACTCAACATATCGTGAAATCTATCTTAAAAGGTTCCATCGACAACTTCTAAAAAATTAGTTTGAATACCTAAGTCGACGGATTTTTTAACATCATGTAATCGGCAATGGGAAGTAAAAAGTATAAGTTAAATTAAAACTAAAAACTTGGCTACTGCCGTATACAAAATTTTTCCATAATACATGTCATTGTCTGAAAATACCAATACGTTTTTTGATCCAGAAACTTTTTAAGGGACAAACATGTACACGAAATCGGTACAAAAGACATTCTGGAAGGAAAAAAAAGTTCTAAATCTGGATGCTTTTCTTATTCCTGGAATCGTTGATAACTGAGTAAATTTTGCTAGCAGCAAGTTCGTCAGTTACAGCAATATAATACTAATAGGCAATAGCTGTGGAAGGGGCATAACTCTTGCACCGGCATTGTAAGTAGATAATCATTGACAGGAAAAAGAAGAATTGACACTAATTACCCTGTTCAGTAATTACGCTTAATAAGCTTCGTTCACTTAAACCTCTTTTACCTTTGTTTAACAAGCCAGTGATAAAGATGTAAAATAATAACAAAATTATTTAAATGAGTGAGATTTTTGCGTAAGAGAGTGAGCGATATCACATATGTGAAATTGCCATCTGGTATAATCACAATATCTTTAATGTTATATTACCATTCATGTACATTTAGAACGGAGGAATGATGACCTGAATGCGTTAAAGTCCTGAGCTGCTGTTACATTATATACTTACTCCTAATACATTAACATGCTGTGTGTTTTATAGTAACCCATCTTTGTCGAAATGGTAATGACGTTTAATTCCGATGAAAATTAGAGCATTTGGCAAAAACTGGTTCCAATTGTAGTCTTCAAATGTAAAAAAAAATAGACCGTGGCAATTATGTATATCACTTACATTGAACAAGATTAGTGTTGTTGAATGGGATTTACGTTTTCTGTAATTGCTGATCAACAATGACGTTAGAAAGTACGCAAATCATTTACCCTGTTTGCCAATACGCCGTCGGTTTGTATTACCTCATAATAAGACATTTTCATCGGCCAAAATAGCTGTAATGCTATAATAACGAAAATTATCTGAAGCCAATAGCTGACGCATGGCTACTGATTTGTTCAGCTATGGTAAACCACACTCATCATATACTATTTACGTATTGCTGTTGTCAGTTAAGCCTGGCGCAGAGGATTGGCGGTTTCCAGCCTGTTTGTATTTGAGAAAACAGTGTAATATTGCTAAATGAGAATTCAGACGATATCAAAGATATGACAGCAGGATTTTCCCCATCCTTTTTAATTCATTGTTGAGATGCCCTTACGTTTGGTTTGGTTATTTCGTCATTCTTGATATTGATATTATTTTAGTAAAATCTCGTTTTTAAAAATCTTCTTTTAAAAACATGGTATTCCTTCAATTTGAACAAAAAGTAACAAAAATAATATTTCAATGGGTATTTTTTCCCACAATCCTTCACTAAACCTATTTGATCTTGAGCATAAAATGTGTACTTGAGCATGAGTACGTAGTTATGAAAACATGTCTTGGTCTTAATTTCCTTGTACTTTTGAATTATCTATCCTTTGTTTATGTATTTTTTCACAGTTTTGCATCTATAATAGAATTACTTTTGTTTTTATTTACAAATCGGTAATTTCTTGATTTTGTACTCACGTGGTTCTTTGGTTATTAATGTCTTTCTAAGAACTGTTTTTGTACAGATGAAAATAGATCTTGGTAATGCCTACTTTTTGTACTCGCCGATTGCGTAGTTATAGATATTCTGTAACGGAAATGTTAAGCTAATAATCCGTGTATTGGCAGAACGCCTCTACAACAGTTCTGTAGAATACTTATCAGTAACCATGCTGTATGTTGTATACTGACCCATAAGAGTACACTGAGTGAAATATACTAAATTATTTAAGGAAATAACTTGCATTATATGCTTCAATCATACATGAAAAAGCCACGAAAACCAGACAGGCCAGAATAATAATCTTAAGAACTTAGACTGTTGTATTCTGCTCTCGCGAGGTTGTTCCATTCGTAACAAATCGATCTTAAGTTTTGGGTTGATATGAAGAAATAATGCTGATTCGCAACAAAACTAAATACTAAAATATTTAAACCTCTGTGAGTTCATCAAATTAAATTCGTATTAGTATGAATGCCGCATAAATCTCTATTATTCGATGATTATATAATTGAACTATGGTTTAATCAATAAATCAATAATTTAATCAGTACACTGAAAATACTACGTTAATGTCAGACTAAAATACAAGAAGATATTTAACACTAATTTATTTATTAAATCGATAATTTAATTTTATTTATTGACATTTGATAAAACAATTTATAGATCAATCAATCAGTCAGTTAATAAAAGCATTGTATACCACATCCATGTGAAGAAAAGAGTGCATATTGATGGGATGCCATCAGTAGGTTTCCATAACTTTTTTTGTAATGCAGAAGACTTATAACAGATATTGTTTGAATTACTCCACTCAGTTTCATCTTGCGTGTAATCACGGAATGTGAACGTCAAGTGGATCGACTTCCGGTTATTATCGTTTACATATGAATGCCACAAGCGCACATAGTATGCTGGCTCCATTAGAAAATTATTACACGCGATGACGGGTCACTTAAACAAACGGAAGTGTTAAACCTACTTATGATATACATTTTCAAGCAAGAAGGTTAATATTGCAAACGAACGTTCTGGTAGCTGTGACAAGTATTTAAAGCAAGTAAACAACCTACGTTCTACCACAAACAGTTTTTGGATACAGACGGAATTGCGTTCATAAAATGTTTCTGAAAGTTGGAACTCTAGCTGTGCTGCTGGTATGTAGTGTATGTTTTCATTTTGATTATGAACAAATTTTTAAATGTGTACAATAAGATAGCAATGCAATGAGAAAAACTTGATGGAGATAATACAGTTGATATAGTTTTAATTGTGAATCTTTGGGTAATTGATGTCAACAATATATACAAATGACTGCATGATTTTCATTTTTTTTTTCTTTTTTTGTTAGGATGGGATAATTTACGATCTAAATATGATATTATTGCATGTTGAAATTAGTATATTTATTTATTATCTTTTTTACAGACTTTTATTGCTGTCGGTGAGTTTTTATTTACAATTATTTTAATATTTTTTAAAATATTTTATTTACCGAGTCCATGGCCATTGTTTTATAACAAAAGTTTAAAGATTAATGTAAGCCTTAACGAAAAGTTCAACACGAGTCTGTTAAATGAAATCTACGCTGTTTATTATATCAAATTATATGTGATATGGATATGTATCTATATAAGATCTGAAGAACGTCTAGTATTATGTTTTACACAAGGACCAAGAGAGAGAGGCATAATCGATGTTTGTGATAATTAAAAGCAGTTTGATATCATTCTTATATAAATTGTAATCTTTAAGCTGTGATGTGGCAGTGTGTATTGTGCGCTCACTGGCTAGATTTTAACTGGGTCGTGATATACAAATTAGGTCTAAGGGTTGTTCGTTAACATGCTAATACACAAGTGTAGCTTTTAAGATGTAGATCAACAAGTTTGCACGCGACGACGTCTAATTCAAGTACATATTCAAATCTCTTTTGTTACAACACCCTTTTATCTTCAAAATATACGTGCTAAGGGTCAGAAGCTCTTTACTGTAAATCGTAAATCTTTCCCTGTGAAGTTTGTTTTTCATAAATCTTTTCAAAGTTATCAAACTAATTTCCGTGATGTTTGTTGTTATTACTTTGTCTCTTATTAGTGAACGGAAATCGTAGGGATGAAGCAAATTATAATTTTAGGAATATTTGTGTAATGAATCGGTCTGTTTGATACTTAAAACAACCATCAATTATATGATTATAGCTTCAAATTAAAAACATAGACTCCCTCGAGCATAGTGTAATGATTTTGCTATTACAGTTCAAAATCAAATAAGTAATCATGACAAAATCCCTGTGTTTTCATTACAACTGAATCAATTTTGTGGAAACCTTGATATCAACAGTGCGCTTCAGTACAGGGTTAATAACTGCACACATCACCTTTACATTACTGTTGGTAATGAGTTTGTCATGCATTGCCTTTGACTCTCGCCCTGTATTACTGAAGCGTGATAGAAGAAATTGGCATTCGGATATATTAAAACAGTTGTGTACTGTATTTCTGTGGTTGGTTTGAACTAGCATGTTTTAATTTCCATACCATATGCTTAGCTGCTTTAGTGATATATATCGCATGCATACTCATATTACTGTGAAAATAGTAATTCCCAAAAATGACCATTTCAATAATTGCACATATCTAAAGGAAAAACAGAGTGAGATATGATATGATTTCGGATGTTATGCTTAGATACTCGCATATATCTTAATTATCACATAACGTCTTTGTAATTAATGAAACATATCCATGTGATATTTTGATGTATGACACTTGTATTATAGCTCCGGTTCAGATAATACAATGATATCTTACATTCACAATAGCACCCACTATTTACCTGAATGATCAGTTTTATGATAAACAGAATCTTATATTTGTCACCATCTGATGTGTTATTTATGGAAGTCATCACTTTTTTTTCGTTGAAGCTCACAAACGGGTCGCTGAAATAAGAACTTCTTACATTATTTTCATTAATCGCTTAACAGTTGGAAACTTTTGTTAAATCCAATATACAATTTGGTTAGTCTATAGAAATACAACTGTTTAATCCGGACACCTAAGAACAGATTTTTATAAGATTTGAAATACATGTAATATATGTCCTCTTAGTACTCAAACATTTCTTGGAGGTTCTGACACGCTTGATGCAGATATAAATATATCTGTTTTTATTCCATTCAGAGATTCGTGACTGGAACCGGACGTCACTTTTTAATTATTTTTATTTTTTCATATATTTAGCTTACTTCAGGTAGTATTGTCTCGAAATTTGGTCCGCTTGTCAACTTTATGAACCAGGCATATGATTGTGAGAGTGTATGGACAGTACGAGTCTGCGTCTGTTTCAATTTAAAGGAACGTTTGAACTTAATATTGACAAAATTATAAATCAGTGTTCACCAATCTTTCTATGAATGAAAAATGCTCTTCTCTTGTGTCTTTTATTCAATCCACGCTATTGGTACAATTTTTTTCGTGGGGTTTGTTGTAATCGTCATACTACGTTTATGTGTATTCTTATAGTGACATATTTCCCTGGTTTTTATCTTAAATTATCTGACATTTAAAAATTATGAAATTCGTTGAATTGCTGAGATAATGTGCCTATCTATGTGGATATAAAGCATATTCCACTGCATGTCAGTACAGTCACAAAGTCAAAAATTTTAAAACCGTTAACATCTTGTCCATCTGTAAAAGAATAAATTGACTTTGAGATTGCACAGGCGTGCAGCAGAATATAATTGGTATGTACTGTCAGTTGTATTTATAAATGCATAAAGTCACCTATCGGAACTGAATTTAATGTTGGTTAATTTCAATAATTTGAATTTATTCATATGAAAACGATACTCTGAAAATGCAATATATAAAAGGCAAAAATACCTAGTTATAAGCTTCACAAGCTTTCAACAAGTTTTAACCACAGAATAATTCAACTTTACATTACTTTCTTCTCAAGTTATTTTATTGTATATACATAAATAAATGACCACCACGTATGCAGTTTGACATAGTACAAAGTCATGAGTGGTTTCAGATTGGATGAGTCTTATGCTAATAGAAATATAGATTGTTAGTGCTAGTTTGAAATACGTTCTAGTAGCATATTCGATATACCATGGGTTAGTGGTATCATCAATCAAAACTGTCTCTTTCAATATACATCTAACACAACCCAGATGTATATTTCATTATGAATATGTATAAACCGGTTGTTTCTGTTATTTTGTTTTCTGAAGATTGTGAAAGAGAGCATGCCTTATTTCTAAAAACAGTTTTTTACATGTTAGCGTAATTGAATACGTTTTATTGATATTAGTTGGTCAGAAGACCTTGTATGTTGAACGTAACAAAAGCATTGGATATGAAATACGTCACTCAAATTATTTTTTCTAAACTTATCTTAAGTCAATGGCAAGACGCTACCATTCTGCATGATAATTGAGACTTTTTTTATTGAAAACATTATCATGACGTCTTTGGTGTGTGTGAAAAATGTTGTATATGACCTTCGTTTTCGGTTGAAAGACTACTTGCACGGTAAGTAATAATGCATATTGTGCACTGTAAGTCTGTCTAATACCAAACTAAAGCGGGATATAATTACTTCATTATCCTGATTGTTTAAACCACGTTCTGCACCCATGCACCTACACAGGCGCGTACGCGCATATACCGGTTTACCTGGCACCGCGACGTGGAATTCCATCAACTAAGGATAAGTATAAGGAGTTCCTCTTAATTCTTGGCATCACGAAAAAGTATGGTAACTTGAAGTGGACCTAATTTATTCATTAAATGATATTTCAAAGAAAACCATAATCGATTAACAAAGTGTATATAATAATGTTGTCTTATCGTATTCAATTTCAAGGTGACTTTCAAGGCATAATTTGTCCGTCAGAGGAATAGTAGTTTTATTAAAGCAAAAGTATTTGATCAACTAACAAAAAAAATTAATAGATGATATATTGTGTTGATCACTTCTGCTATGGTGACCTCCTAGGAATCCCAAAAATGGCAGTAGAGATATCTTACCGTTATCATTGGGCTTGTACACTGTTATTGGTACATTTGTTTAAAACTCGTTCAATTTGACTGTTCTAGTTAACAATAGTAAAGTTTGGAATATGTCATGGCAGCTTTGTCAAACTAGTGAACAAAATAATGTTATGTAACATTGTGGTTTTCTTTGGAAAGATTTGAATGTATCCTACCTGGCAGGTATGAATGCATAAAACAAACAAAAATCTTACTGAGGAAACATCTGTTTGCTTTCGAATCCTATTTCATGGCTGCATGATCATAAAGTTTTTTGCACATCGAGGTGTAATTTAAAGTGGAAACCTTTTCACAATTTCTAAAACAGATAGATTAAAGCTTGAAGGGTTTAAATAATTTGCAAATAAAAATCACCTTGAGACAAGTTTTTTTTTCAAATGACCCTAAATCAACAACTGTACTATGGTGTGGGCTTGAATCAAAGAAACATGGAGATGATAAGGAGCACAAAAGTGTGTAACAGAGATTAAAGCATAAGAGATATTGTTGCAACAATCGCCCATTCTATTAAATGTTTTAGAAAAAAGTTTCGACAGCATTCTCATTCGTGCAGAATACCCATTTGGGACCATAATTCCAAACAAACCCCATCTAATTGGCTTTAGAGTGGAGTTTATCCATGTCTGAACATAGTAGACGGTATAGATCAGTATTGTTCTTTTCTATACAGTAGTTATCTTATCGGGATTTAGACCGGGGACTCGACCAAAGCTTCCAATTTAGGCGATCTTATTGTCTTTGTTTCCATTAATACATGAATATTTTATATGCTTGTTTATGCCAAATCCGTTCGATATTACCAACAACATGAAGGAGACGAGAACCATTAGAGGACATCATAAGTCAGTCCTTTATTAATCGTTTACACGGAACCTGGAACAGACAGCGTCATGTTTAATTTGATGATGACGACTGCAAAATGTGTTTATTTGAGCGCAGCACGCCGTTACTGTCTCTAGTGGGACGCGCGGGCGGCCACGGCCATGAGACGTAAAAAACATCCAAGCTTTAAGCTTTATCCCCTGAGTCCCGAAGTTGCAAGACAAATTTATATTGTTCCATTATTTCACTTGATGTAAACCTAGCAAGATATTCGGAAACGTATCTACAAATTGTGTACATTTTATGGTAAAAGCATCAAAGCTCCATATTACAAAACTGGAGGCTATTTTATCAACTATCAACTCTAATCCGAAATTCAAGGCATGACCTAATTCTTTTCGTAGATGTGCACTAAATAGACATATGTTGTCAAATGCTACATTGAAATATATCAATTTTTGTTTTTATTATTTATAATAGGTGATCATATTTAAGTGTGAATAACGTTAACAAAGAGCGAATCTTGTATACAACCAAAAAATAAGTTATGCGTTTTGGCGTTACAAACCTTTCAGGCATGATTGATCTCATTATTATTATTCACAATTATTTTTATGTCATCATTACTTTCATACAAAATGTTGAAAAAGACATTTCCCCAACATAAAAAAAGTTATTCATTAACATCGTTATTCCCGACAATGGAGATCACACAATTTTACAAACAAACACTAATTTCAATTACGACATGTTTACAGTAGTCGTTATGCGTACAAGGTGTTTCTTTTTCTGTCGGATACATTGATGAAATCTCGTCGGCCAATTATTTGTATACCTTCCAATCTACCTGGGAACATTTAATTAGACCATTTTGATCTATTTCAGTATGTTGTTTCATAGGTTTCAAGGTTTATGCCCCAAGTAGCACTAGCTAGTAGTACAAGTATGAAAAAAAGTGATTGATGTGGCTTAATTCACCATTTAGTCCCCCCTTTTTTACCAATGTGCTTTTTTTTACAATTACGTTTACTACATTAGACCTTAGACAGCGTACATGAGTTGACATGAATTTACGAAAAAGACAAAATGTGGTACACGGACAGCAATCTTAATCATCAGAGCATCATCATTTATCATCATAATTTGGTATGCTTTAAAAGTAAGCTTTTTAAGTTAATATCTTGCGACTGATAATTTTTAACGAAAGTACATGAAATTTACAAATCATACTTTTTAACACAGGGAATGCTCAGCCTGGACCTCCAGGGCCACCGGGTGTGGACAGTGAACGATGTAAGTGCATTCTTGAAATTTTTTATCTTTCCTTTAATAATGAAGTGATGACTGGTTGTAGAGTAGTATCAGAACAAACAAGATTGTTTATTGGTGTAATAGATTACAATATGTGTTGTGCCATACATTGCTATTTTATACGTATATATTAATTAAAACTCCTTATCCCGAAGTCGACGTGATCGTGAAATACAAACGTTTTCGTGTGCTAGTATTGTGTTTCTTGTAACTAAGATATAATAAGCAGATTGTGCCGGGACATGATTAACTCTTCAAGTTAAACGGATCTTCAGACTTCGAGATAACGAAGTATCACTGCTACTAAATGTCTATGCTGTTTGTAGATATCTAGCCATTAGCATCACTGACGAGTCGTAGAAGAACAGATGTATGACGCAGTTTAATTCATTGTTTTGCTCTACTGTATATCCGTCTTAATTATGAAAAGGTACTTTTCACTTGTGTGTCTTTTGTACAATCGTGTTTATGTTGATTCAAAAAGAATTGAATGACCTCCTAAAACACTAAGGTCTGTTTATAATACAATTAATGTATTCATTTGCAAAATTTGAAAAACAATGCACTTAACCGCCATCCTTGGTCTGCCCAGGTCTGTGCTATTTTTCTTCATAAAACACCAGTTCAAATGACCCTGTACATAATCATTGTTTCATTGAGATAGTTTCTTTGTTGGTAGTAATACGCTTTCCAACCAAGCCAAACTAAGCAGAAAAGAGTATACATGTACAAAAACGAGACACACGTTTAGAGTGAAATTGTCCATTTTATAAACTGAGAGTACTTTGATTTTTGTTTCAGTTCCAAAATATGGAGCATCAGCCCCGGGACACAATATACCCGAGGACCTTTTGATCTTCCCCGAAGTCTCGCTTGATGGTGATAATTAATTTTTTTTGTTTCTCACTTATGCTCGATTCTATAGAAATTACATATAATTTGCTATACAGTTTTAAAATTTCAAAATATATTTTACTATTTTATCCTTTGTAAGCTTCCATAAACTAGTTCTTTATTTCTAAAGTTCTGTGTCACATTTGAGAGAGTTTTCCTGTTCAGTATTGGAGTCGGACCAAAACAAAAGGTCATGTTCGCTTTTTATTATACCAGTGAAAGAGAGACATAGCTTTAACCATGTTCTACACGTGTTTTCTATACACCTTGCAAATAAGAGTAAGGCATACTTTCAATAAAGATAAGGATAAGACCCAGTGGTTAAGGCGTCTGACCGTCTATATTACTAGCCCTCCATCTCTGGGTCGCGGGTTCGAAACCTACCTAGGGCAGTCATCAGGTACTCCGGCTTTCCTCCACCACCCAAATCTGCCTCGTCCTTAAATGACCCTGGCTATTAATAGGATGTAAAGCAATATTTAACTAAATTATATACAGATAATTGCTCAATTTTATCATGCAATGTAAATTTCATTGGAATGAGTCTGATAAGACGTTTACATCAGGCTCTATGAATCATTTTATATATTGTTCTGTATTTGTCTCATTTGTTTTATAGCATTTGTCGACGGAGCTCCAGTTAATCCTGAAGATCGTAAGTCATTAGAATTATTTATAGTAAAAAACAACAAGAATTTTGCGTAACGAAATAATCAACATGATACTGTAACGCTTATATCAATTTAGTTTAACAGAAATATTCAATTGTTCAATAAAATTAATTTTTAAACTATAATCATATTGTCGATATGATTTCAGCCCAATCAATAATGGATGTTGGCCCAGAGCACCACACATGTGAGTAATTTACTAAATTTAAATGTAATATCGCAATATACAGTTGTTTAAGGTTATGCTGTGGAATAATTACTTTAAAGGGAATAGATGTATTTAAAATTTTAAATATGAAAAAAAGAAGCAAAGCAAAACGGAAGCATACACACACAAAACGGGTTTGTTTTAATTTTGTTTCAAATTCATTATCAATAAAACGAAATCCTATTCTTGGTTTTTAACAATAGGTGAGCTGTTGTAGATAAAAAAGATATCTCTATAAATGTATTTGTTTACGATGTATAAGGTGTATTGTTCATCGAGAAACATTGATCTCATATACGATACGAAGCTTTTGTATGAAACATTATCATATTTATCAGAATATTTAAGGATTTGAATAGGTTTGTATTTACAACGAGAATGCAGTGTCATTTAATTAAGCTAAAAGACGAAAAGATAAAAGATCAATTTTAATTCATTATTAGGCTCTGCGGAATTTAATTTTTCCTTCGAAGTACTTTTCACGTGTGTATTTTTATACAATCTTTGTGGTTGCAGGTTGTAGAAACTTTTAGTCTCTGAGGTTTGCCGTAGCCTCATGCAACGTTTTATTTCATACGAATAATGGCACTGTGTAGAATAAACACATGCACTTGACGCTCTTTCGAAACTATCAGATACACGAAAGTTAGGATTTTTTCAATCATAGTGCTAGTGCACCTTCCCCAGGTTAATTTCGACTTTTCTTTGATGAATTTCCCTAAGTCGCCTCTTTGGTTTCACAATTAAGGCTCTAAGCATAACTGACGAGTCATTGAAGGACGAAAGAGCTCTATGATAGTTTAATTCATGATTTGGCACTACTTTATATTATTCAATATTTGTGTTGAAAAGTCATATTTCCTTGTATGTCTTTAATACAATAGTTGATTAGAATATCAAATATATTTCCCTCTTTCCTTAAGAAATTGAAAAACTATCTATACGTGCATTATAAATACGTTATCATAACTTGAATGAAATGCAAATCAATTGCCGAAATGAAAGTTCTCCTTTTGTTTTCAATGCACTTATTTACTTCCAGAGAGGCATTTCTCAATTCTGATTAGATTTTGTCATATTTTAGTTTCAGACCCAAGAGGCCCCATAGGTTTCAGAGGTAAGAGGAAACATTTCACATACACAACAAATATCCCTTTCATGCTTGCATGCAAAATCTAATTTAGTTTTAGTGTCAGAAATAAGAGCAGTTAAATGGTGATTTTTTCATATTGCACATGATTAATCTAGTGTATGCAAATTTGGTGGCGAATATTTATAATTACATTTATCAGTGGTTAATCAGCAGTTTTGATGTTTTCTATGCTTTGAAAATTAATGACACATTTGAGATTTAATTATGTAAAACTCAATGCACTGTGATAACACTCTAATTATGTTTTTTTTCTTTCCTCAGATCCATTACGACGATTCTTTCCCTTTCGTGACGCTGATGCAGAGTACCAAAGTCTTGGTAGAAGAACGAACATCCAAAACGACATGGAGCCATAATAAACTGGAAGGTTTGTGATATCAAAGCTTTATTTGTTGATGATTTAATCATACAGCTAATTATAGCAAATTTGCTACTCTGTCTAAACGATTAATGCTCAACAACAGTACGAGTTTGACCTTGTGTATAAAGCCTAAGTTTAGAACCCTTGTTGCTGTGTTGTTGAATACATGCCTGATGCAATAGTTTATTTGGATTGTTAACGTGTTATTCAATTGTTCAAGTCAGTATTATTATTATTATTTTTTTTTTTTTTTGAGTATTCGTTGTTGTTTTATTACGTAATATTTCATTTGTAGGATGTTTACCGGAATACCGATCCATCGGCACATAGCAGAGGAATAGTTGTCGCAATCATTTGCCTCATACATGTTTCCTTCATTCCATTTCGGTGTTAATTAATCCTACCAATTTATGAATGTATATTTCTGTCTACGCTCCAGTAAAACCGATTTAATCGATTGTTATTATAAAAAAAACTGTCCTTCATTCAACATTCATTATGTGTAACAACTTGAAGTGTGAACACTCCAATAATAAAATTTGCATTTAGTACTGCAAGTTGGTGTATCGGTTTGGCTTTTCAATACAGCGTTATCCATTTTCATCAATTGTATTTAAAATTGTTATCTATGATGGCATATTTCCTAGAAACCATTCTCATGTGATTAGCTGAGTTACGTATATCGGGGTATTTTTTTTTTTAAATATGTCGACATAATTTGAAAGGTCTCTATAATATAATAGTAAATTAATTTGAATTACAAATTATGGAGACTTATCATCGACATATTTGTAAAGATAATTATATCATCAGTAGGACACTCGACTTTTATCATGTTATTGCTCTTACATAAAATAATCTTGCCACGAAGGTTAGTTAGATTTCAATTAGATTTCTGTAGGTTTGTCAGGAGGATGACATTTTTAAACGTCACTCTTGTCAAGGCACAGACATATGAATTGGATGGAGTCCTGTGAGACATAAGCAACACGTTTGGATACTATTGTTTTGACGTCACATTAGTATAAGATACATAACGTCGCGCTAATTGCGTTGGCGCACTATTCAAAAATATTAAACGTCCTGATGCATTTTAAATTGAGTCCATTAGATAATCTATAAAACAAAAAGATTCACTTCGTAAAAGTGTAATGAAATAGATAATCATATATGATCCTTTAAAGTTGGATATAACTAAGATAACTATAGATATTAAGTATTAAGTTTAATGATCTGGCGTATGTAATATAAAGACATTGGTTATCCATCAAACAACATTATTCATGAGTTTATTTGAATTTTAAGTGACAATTTAATGAGAAGAGGCAGAATTATAGGCTACTTCCAATGAAGTTTATTAAGGTTATAATGTCAACAGACATGCATAATTCAATGCATTCAATACAATTGTGCTTATCACGACTCCATGAATCAAAACAGTTTTAGTTTACATCAAGTTACTTCCCTTTCATCATAATAAAAATCTAGACATGGTGCTAAACTTTGACATAGAAAAAGATAATAAAAATTACAGATATCTCAAATAAAAAGAATAACCAAACAGACAAGTGATATATATTGAAGCAAACTAAAAGATGCTAATAACATGCAGATACGTGCATTCCGCAAGCGAGATTAATCTAGCTCAAAAGCCATCAAACTAATATTATCAGTCAGCTTAACACAATTGTTTCTTGCGCAATTTCCGATGACCAAGCATATGTCATGGCGAGTAAAATGTCTTCTATTTGAAATCACTTTTTTTTAGTCCTCTCCCTTTCTTGAACACCACTTTACATATTTCAGCGACCCTGTTGATATCACAATTCGCCAAGGCGTTTGTTAGTTGTGTGAGGTCTTTTTCCGGGTCATTTGCACTGGATTTAAGCCATTTATCGACTACGGCCATTTTAAAGTCATCAGCAGAGTGAGCGTGTATAAAGCGAAGGTCTTGATACTTCGTCAGGGAAAGGCCTAATCCTGTAGCCAAACCCAGCATGTCATCGATGCTAACATGCTGCACCAACGTCAACATGCTTTGACTGCTGAAGAAACCTAAAACACATTGATGATACAGATTCAATGACAGAATAGAAAATAGGTGTATATCTTTGGGAATGGATGAAAGTGTTTTCGCCATTCGTTCAACACATTTCCATATAGTAACCAAAATTTAGATTTGTATATATCATAAAGATCCGTAATGCATCCCTAACTTCCGATGACGAGGACGTATAAAACAATTTCCTTTCATAGCAGTAAACCTTAAATGACTGGAACAATATGAATTGCATAGTCTATTAAAGAACAGTGATAGAAATTTTTTCACGAAAATAAGCAATGATTTTCTAAAGAATTTCAAACTCAAATAATAATAAGTTTGTATCGGTTATCACTTATTTCGCTCTGTTTCTATTATTCGTTTTGTCAAAACTGATACTGTACTTTGATTATATATGTTAGAAGATTTGCTAGATGTCTCAAATAAAAAGTGTCGTGTAATAACCCAGGTAATGATAAACGATATATACCTGCTGGTTCATTTTCTGGTTCCAAAGTTTCAAACTCGTGTGGCTGAAAATATGCAGTATGCAAGTGACTTCTTTTTTTCTTTGTTCCTAATTGGAACTCCAATATTGCCATTTCACTGGTCCCAGTTTTACTTACAGGAAAACAAATATAGTTGTGTTTTGCTGCTGGAAGGTAAACAATAGTCTGTTCTGTTGGAACACCCACAAACATTTTTAAACATCCTTCTGAGCTAAAACGAACGCGTATCCTAGCTTTCTTCTTGATACATTTACCTGGGGATCTACAGTTCGGAGGCTCTATTAAACGGTTTTCAGTAACTCGCTTATGGACGATATAATCAACAAATTCCTCTGGAGATATTTCTATCCATACCATCCAAGAATCATCCGTTGGCCCCTTTCCAAGAAAAAGCAGGACGCTGCAGGGTAGGTTATAGCCATATATTGTACTGATTTCTTTAGATTCCGACGACTGCTTTGTTTTTCCTTTTGGCCTTTTTTTCCTTGCGCCAACACTTTTCCTTAAATTTAAACATATATTTATCTTATTTAGTTTATATACTTGGCAACTGCTTAAAAAGTGAGTAGGAACTCGCATAGATATATCATCATTTCCAGATATTTCTAAACAAATCTGTCAAGTTCAAAAGATTTCTTGTACATAATGATCTTCTTTATATTTTGTATCATTTCATTTCGAATTTGTGCAAGTGTGATTGATAAATTTTATTTGGCCGAGGACCACCAAATTCCAATCAGATGTAGAATTTAATGGTCTGTTATGGTATCAATATGTACAAAATCTGTTTATGGGTTAATGAGAAACCTGGTGCATGAGTATATTGTGAAAGACGTCTAGTGTAACTTTGACTTTTGACCTTGACCAATGACCATCAGTATATAAGCAAGTTTAGAGATTGATTGTGTGAAGCAGTAGTCTGACTTGGAAGTGTATACGAGATTCATGGGTTCCTGAGAAAGCAAAAACACAAGCATAAGTTTTGTAAGTGGTCATGTGTAATTTAATTAATTTAATTACCTTTGACCGATGAGCACTAAAATCTTATCCGGTGTAAGAATTTATCGTTCGTTTATCAGATATCTTTTACAATAGCTTTTACGCGCACGCAGACACACACGGACGAATATATACTTAGACTTTTGGTACCTGATATGGTACACTACGCAGAGAAATAAACCAGTATTTACTTTTAAATTCATTATGTCTCGTGTTTTGTTATTCAAAAGCGTGTATGGCTTCGTATTAAGGTGACCCAGTCATAAAATTCAATCACGCTACTGATCTCCAACAGAGTGTTCCCTTTATACGAACTCCTCAGAAACGAACACCCCAGGAAATAATTTGTCCTTGACACTGAACTTAACTGTAGATTTACCAAACGCGTTCTAAATGTGTGCAATACACACATAGATTCAGGATAAACTACATGTAAGGTAAATAGTTATTATTATCATTCAGCAAATGTTAACTATGAAAAACAATTTTCATAAAATATTCTAATTCGAGAAAGTAGGTCGCACACAAAAGAAAGTTGGTTCACGTTGCTCAAAATCCCTTTAGGTAAATGGGGATATAGAAAAACTTTTGTGCTTGCATTTCTTTATATCGCTTCATGAAGTATTTTGGTCGTCGTTTTAGTTGAAATATATCTGTAAATCCTAAATACACAAAAAGTAATGCATTTGCTGATACAGAACCAACCAACGAGGTCTATTGCGGCATACTGTTAACTAACCTGTGTTTTGAATTATATCTATAATATAATGTTGTATACGAATAACTCAAAGAAATGTTTTATAATTTTCATTTTACATCCAATTTTAATCCAAGCATACAATATGACTTACCTACTGAAAAGAGATGTCTCGAGTTTAATCTTATTTTTTCCAACTTTTTTCAGCTTATTTCCCTTTTGATCAATGATGATATTGTCATCGTCGTAATGGATTGCAATAAGATCACAAGCAGCGATATCATCATTAGTGATCATCATCATCGGTAGCTCAACACAAATATCTCTCTTAAATGGCTCCTCGTGTTCAATGTGAACGATGTCGGTAAATCCAACAATCGACAAATCATGTTCGTTTCTTTTCAGTTTCTGAATTGCCGATTGGTCAGCCGATTCTAGCTACAAAGCAAATCCGACAAATTAAAATATGTAATACTGATAAGGGTCAATGTCAAGAGAGATTTTCACAACAACATTTGTTTTTCAAGTACTGAAATTTTCAATCAGCTGAAACAAAATATCTGTAAACATATATGAAGAAATTCTTATAAAACAATTTAATCAAGAACTCTATGATCTTGGAAATGACTTTTGTACATTACGAACCCAACAACGTTTTGGTTGACTTTAAATATGATATATAAGTATAATCTTAACGCATTCTATAAAGTAACTTTTACAAAATCTATATCTATATTGTCTTTGTTTTAGTGGTAACCTAAGAAATTATAATTTAGTTAAGGAATTTTTTCAACCATGTGCTTTGATCGAAAGTAAGGAATTCAGTAAGTAAATTTTAACTTTATTTATATTACAACAATTGCAAAATACGTTATCCAACATAAACTAATCATGTCTGTTGGCTCGGATGGATGTGTGGGAGAGTTCTTACTGTGGAAATCAACCAAAGTACCCGAGGAACATTCACCCGGACGATTTGGTGAACGGAGAGTGTGTTTCCACTGTGCCATCCGACGAGCCGATTTTATAAGTATTGAAACAGTGCGAAAAATATTCATACCATACCATTTGTTACCCTTTAGAATGAATAACATTAAATATGATTCCCACTAAACCAGCGTAATTCAACAATAGTGGATCAGCGAGGAATGCATATCTTATCGTGTAAAATAATACATTCTATCATTCATCACATTACATTAATCACATGGTCATGCCAAAACATTTAATATTTACCGACACATGGATAACTTGGTTAGTTTGAACCGCTCCTTTTGGAAAACGGATCAGAACATCTTTGTTAGAGGTGAAACGATGCTCCGTGCCGTTTGGACCGACAGTGAGATCACATTCCGTTCCACGAGATGTCACGCATACCAGCGCTTTAATAGGTATAGGGATGATCGTTTCTACATTGCCTTTCTGTTGAAATAATGTGACATCACTTGCTAGGTTTCATGTATTACATTTGGAATAGAAACAAATTTAGATCCATAATTTATAGGGTAGTCCGTATTGCTATGTTACTCTATCTAAACAGTCGAACTCCTTGGTGTTTATTGAAAGATATAGCAAAAAACAAACATATTAATTACAATTTATATACGTTTTGACCAATGTTTTCTTTGCAAAATACAAATACTTGTTTATAAATAATTGGAAATCTGTTTCTCTTCTCCCATCCCGATTTCAAAGTCCATCTAAATAACTGAACTGGAGATGTAAAAAAAAATATGTCAAAGTTAGACTTCTTATATAAAACTTTCGTTTAATATCTTTTCAGGGGTATCAAAAATAGACTGTAGAAATTGTTGCAAGTCGTATATCGTACCATTATTTTGAAAGCCACTTTACCTTCAGAGCTCCTTTGAATGATTTCCATCCATCATCATCTTTCAAATGTAGATAATGAGACACATACTTTCTAATAGTTTCTATTGGCGCTGCGATCTTAACCTTTCCATCCACTTCCCTGACAATTGTTTCGTCTCTGTCACGTGTACATAGTTGTACGCATTCTTCAATATCTGATTCAGTTAGGTAAGGTTTTCTCTGTTTCAATGGTTCTACCTTCAGGTAGAATACTTCCGACTCCAGCTGTTCTGCGTTATTAAATTCTAAATCTGATATCGAGTTTGAATCCACAGGATGACAATTAACCAAAACAAGGTCATTAGTCGAAACTCTGTAAATATAAGGACATGCACTCCAAAAAAGATGGTACATTTTAAGATACATTAAATTGAATACAAGGATAAATGATTAAATAATCTTTCGTTATATCATGAAGCTATAGCGAAAACATTGTGATACAGGGAAACAGTAAACCAGATTTCCGTGGGTGCACTGAAACTCCGACTCGTCCTCTCATTACACAGGATCTTTTTCTTCTGAAGACAGGTAAGTCATAAAATGGCCTATTCACAATAAAAGACCAAGAGATGAAGCTTATGACCTAAATTAGCAAGCCAAAAATTCAATGCAATTGTTTTTAAATACATTCATCTGTGTTTCAACGTTTTTAATATTAAGATAAAAAAATTATTTGTCTTTGAATTAGAAAATGTCATTTTCTTTGGTAACTTTTTATAATGCACTTCATGACCTAAATATATACCATTGTGTCAGAGTTCAGAGGATTTTCACCCTCTATAATGAGATGATTCGTTAGTTTTCTAGTACATTCTTGCAAAGCCAACGGTTTCTAAATGGATTTGTTCTGTAACAACGAAAGTGCCGTGTTGTGATGTATACATGTATAAATTTACTTACGGAGGTGATCTTTCTACACCAGACAAACGATCCAACCGTGCCTGTAAACTAATAATTATGAAAAACATTATAGCTGTTGCAACAAAATGATACCGTTTTAGACCAGATATGTGTATATTCCTTGCATATTAAAAAGAACTAAGATGATCAAAACTTATTACGTTAAATTCTGGAAAAATGAAAGATACAACACAAGAATGAAAGAATACCCTTTAGGTGATTACTTATAAAAATCTCTGACGTTAATTTTGTAAGTATTTTTCTAAATTTGTCAAAGTTTTCAGAGGTTTACTCATAACAACATAAAGTATCTTGATATTTGTGTACCTGAAGATATTTTTTAAGTTTATTTTAATAGTCTTACCTATTCAAACGTTCGAAAAGTTCGGGTTGGGCTGCGCTGCAAGAATGATCAAGTGCTAGTATTAAAGATTACATCGCAATGTATGACTTCTGGAATAAAAACACCGCGTTTAGTTTGTATTATACATTCTATTGTTACGGTATATTAAAAGTAATATTTACCCATCACATTTTTGTCGCAGAGAGGATAATCTGTGAAAACAATGAAATATTGATACATTTTACTATATACAAACTTGTTGCATATCAACAACATATTTTCAAGCCAACACGCTTTGTTCCACATCTATTTAAGGCATTTACTGTTCTTAATAAGAAACAAAAGTTTATTGAATGTTTGAATGTCACTATATTCCATTGCAATCAAACTTCCGTGAACGTTATCAAACATTTTAATTCCTATGAATTCCTATATTTCTAAAAACAATTATGTATTGTGAATGGATTTTACAAGTAAAACATATATACTTATACATATATATATGTATAATTCGTCGAAAAATAAACAGGAAAATAGCAACAATTTAATGTAATTATACACCAAACACAGATTCAATAAAACTAAGGCAAAACTAGGGAACATAAGAAAGATTTGAGCGGGGATTCAAGAAAACGTACAAGAAGAATTATACCAAGACCAGGTACTCCGGAAGAGTAATTGTCATCTGCTTCATCGACGACATCCGCCATGTAAATCATGGCCAATACAAGTACATAATGTAACGTTCTCAAATGAAAACAAAGTATATAACAACGGAACTAAAAGGAAAACTAACATGCATCAAACACGTCCAACTTCATATCGCACAAAGATCACTAAGACGACCAATAATGTTCATCAACCTGCATCTCTGAAACCCTTTGATGGGAGTTGATGACATAAATCAAGAGAATCGTGATGTTAGGGACAGTCTCTTGAAAATCGATTCAACACTGATATGTAAGCAATAAAGGCTGTGGATGCAGGAGGGTTGCTATCTCGAAATGGAAAATGCACACTAGCGGAATTCAAATTTTCACGTTTACCATACCGCTTGGTGGAACGTTGTTCATACTGGTTTATTTTTAAGTCCAGATAAGAGGCTGGTGTAGAAGAGTCTGAAGAGTACTTGATTTCCGAGTCTGGTGAGTACATTAATTTATTCAAATACAAATAGTCACCTTTGTATCTGAAAACTAAATTGAACGACTTTTGTGTTTGTGACCTACTTTGAAAAGCTCCTCGATTTATTCCGCCTCGTATGAAATAAAAACAAGTCAACCAAATGAGGGACACAGATAATACACAAATGTTAAAGCAGACAATGAGGGAATGTAATGAAAATATACATGTAACTTACTTGGTAGCCACCAGTGATGTATCGTCTTTGAATAACCTATAAATTCAAAAATAAAAACAAGGTATATATTTTTCAGGAAAAAAATTAAATGTAAACTCTTTTGTTTTAAAGATCCTCCCTCTCATACATGCTTTTCATCCAATCCCATTAAAAAAAACAATGAATACGGGCCTTTAATGTTATTAATTGTCGTTCATTGTATGGATGATAGACTGGGATAAGATAATTGACATTCTCCGTGATTATAAGGTCTTTTACATTTGAAAATTTGCTGTCTCGGAATTATAAACACTGTATAAAAAATAACCTTACCTATTGGAATCATTTCTACAAATAAAATTTTTTTATAAATATTAGATAACACGTACAGATTAAATTACAGATTAGATCATTTAAACAAACATGAATACCTTTATTACATCAGTTACTTGTGTTTGTTTGTTTTCTCTTACATTTTTTTATCTTAAATTATCTCCTTCTTGACAAATTAACTTGATTCTTATAAACACTCTTGAACTAAGATCGATTCATATCACATTGTGTTACTGATCAGTCGAATACACATTATCTAATTTTATATCATCAAAACTTAATTCACTCTTTATATACTTTTAATATGGTATAGTATAGTTATTAATGATGTTCAGTGGATAAACACTTACTTCTGCGTTTCTTGCCTGTAAGAGAAAACTCATTATTCACGCAGTGTTTTGCAGTTTCACAAAGGATGGATATATAAATTCGTATCGACATTAGATAAGAAATTGTCACTGGCATGGGGACATATACTATATATAGACTCCATGTTTCCATGTTAAAGACAGTCAGGCCATATGAACGCCTGAAAAGGGATATGCGTTCTTTGAGGATAATTTGTGATATATAAATTCATGCATTCTATCTGGAAAACGGTTTTTGAAATATTCTCTATGTTAAGAAATAAAAATACATTTGTTGATTATTATATATTTGTGTGAATCTTCAATTTTAAGATAAACTATTTCATGAACATATTCAATGCAATAATTAAATAACTGGTACAGAAGTAATATAAAAATTATCGACCTTAGATTTGGTCAATTAATTGATATAATATAATTTGAACAGTGAGGGATTCAATCAAGATCTAATACACATACTTTTAAAAATACTGAAATATTATAATATTTTATAAACCCATTAAGTGATGTCATCGTCTTTGTTTCATTTTACATTTTAAGACAACAGATCAGTATATACATTGAAGAATAGTTTTTTCTTTATTAAATTGAACTTACATTACTATCGCAGATTCAATGAAGTCTAGTCTGTAATAAAAAGACATTGACAACTTATCGAAATAAACTGGTTACGTGTATTTCAAATAACACAATATAGATGTACAACAACATATAAGCATATTTACTGTCAGCCTTCCAGCATTTACACCAAACCAATTCATCTCGATAAAGTTCATCACGTGCTATTAGTAATATTTTAATATGATGTGAGAAGGGCATTAATATTCGTCGTGAATCTTCATGAATTTCTTATTTGTTATGGCAGGATGATAATAAACTTGACAAGAGAGGTTTTAAAAAGTCTTGAAACATAGTGTTCTACCTCCTCGACTGTGTGACACTGTATACTAGATATTTGGTTACAGGTAATCAGGATGAAGATGCAATGCATCAGAAGTACATGTGCAATACCCATGACAAAAACGTTATAACCATTATCAAGATTCATAGTTGATAAGACAATGATATATACTAAACAAAAAAAGAAAGGTAACACTACTTTATTATGTGATTAATTAATTAACCCTTTCATAAATCCTTACCAATCATGTACGATTAAAGTAATTGATCAATTCTAATAAAACTGCAGTCATGGTTCATTATAAAACTTTGCGTTCAGTTGATTTTATTCGACTGTAAATGACGTTGGGGTCAATTTCAAAGGTAATACCATTAGTAACGGGTATGGCCACCCTTTGCGAAGTAAACAGCATTGCAGCGTCGTCGCATGGAACTCGTAAACTGGCGGATAATTCGAGGAGAGATGTTGTTCCATTCAGCGATCAAGGCTTGGGCCAGCTCCTGCAAGTTTGACGGCTGATTTTGACGTTCTCTCATGCGTCGCCCAAGAACGTCCCAGACATGCTCAATCGGTGACAAATCAGGCCCCACTTGTATAAAACATCTCAACTTGAGATTTCCTCAAGTCGAGATTTTCCTCTGCTGATATCTCCGCAAAAAAACGGCTTGTATAAAATTTTCTCAGGGAACAGGAGGAAGTCCTCGGCTAGAATGTCCTGAAATTCCTTGAGGACTTTTCCTACAAGATATTTTCAAGGAGATATTAGCCGAGGAAAATCTCGACCTGAGGAAATCTCAAGTTGAGATGTTTTATACAAGTGGGGCCTGGTGATTTAGATGGCCAATCTAACACCTGTACGTTATTCTGCTGCAAGAAAGTTCTGTTGACGCGACTGGTGTGCGCTGATGCGTTATCCTGTTGAAAAATGGCGCCAACGCCATGGCGTCTTAAGAATGGCAGAACCACTGGTCTGAAAATTTCGTCCCGATATCGAATGCCGGTTAAATTGCCATTTAACACACCAAGCCTGGTACGAGTCCCCCCACAAATACCACCCCAAGCCATTACACTTCCGCCGCCAACGCGGTCCCGTTCTGCGACGCAGCAGTTCACAAAACGCTCCCCTCGTCGCCTCCACACTCTGCGCCTTCCGTCACCGTGTTGCAGACAAAACCTGGACTCATCTGAAAACAGGGCATTGTTCCATTGTCGTAAGGCCCAACGACGGTGAACACGGGTCCAGTTACGCCGATTATTACGGTGACGTCGCAACAAATTGGGTCCAGTGTAGGGACGCCGTGCTTTCAGTTGGTAGGCCCTCAACCTGTTGACGCCCAAACAATGTCTTTGTAATCTCTACTGCGGTTACGAATCGACTGCGCAAGTGTATCAATCGTATACGACGGTCATCCCTGGCGGTCGTTTTACGGGGTCGGCCGCTTCGGGGACGATCGGATGTTGACCCAGTTTGGTTTAAACGACTTACCAACGGGCAAATTGTCTTAACACTGCAACCAAAATGCGGTGCAACTCGACGGCGAGACTCCCCAGCCTGGATCATGCCTACGGCCCTTTCTCTCTGTACTTGTGACAGCCGGGGCATAATGATAAAGTTGATAGATAGCAAGATTCGGTGATTTCTATGTCCTAAGGATCTAAGGAACAGTTGTCAGTTTGAATGTTTATGAAAATCAAGCGAAGATACAAGTTAGTCGCAGAAAACCTCGTGCAGCTCTTTCGCTAATACAGACTTTCACGCTTGAATGATTTTGGTAACCCCTTGGATTTTGTAATGTAAAACATTACCATTTTCTAATATTGCACAAACGTCATTTTGTTTTCACTCATTTACAGGTATTCGCCAAGGAAACATGTTAACCTTTCTTTTTTTGTTGAGTATATTTATATACACCTGTGTGTTTAGATATTTCAAAACTTAACGACATTTCCGGATCTAGGAAGAAGCATTTATGTTCAAGTATATTTATTGTCAATGATCATAATTAAAGGGTACTCACACTTCATCACAATCCTCATCCTCATCGTCATCACTGAAATATGCAAATACGACATTCGCTGTAAAATAACTGTAGGTATCACCTATACCATTTAAGATTTCACTGGTATGTAAATATGGTAGTTCTTGTAAAACTTTTGGTACTGAGTAAAACCTATTCCAAATAAAAATTCCCTGTTATATGTATATTTCAAGTCTAAACCGGTTTCATGTTACATAGCTTTGAATTCATCAAGTATCTACGAATGTTTTGTAACATATAAAGATTTAATCAATACCATTTAAATGTGTGAAAACAGAATCCGTAAATTACAATTTAGTTATTTACCTCCACGGAAGCGCCGTTGCCATACTTGTATTAAATTCAGCTGCAGAAATCTAATAAAAAGAATAAAAAAACTGAATGCCATTACTGCATGATTGGAAGCCACACTATAGTTCCACAGATTTATGGAGTTTTGATCCTAATTAAGACTATTTGGATGGGCACGGTATTCTCCGGTCATTGGTAACTAAAGATGCCCTGACATCAATATTAGCTCACGTCATAAACAAACGATTTATAAATTAACGGTTCCCTTCCCTATTTTGAAAATTTTATGTTTCCGCTTCTTCCTATTTCAAATTAGATTAGATATAAAATGACTTGTTTCCGAGGAGCACGTACAATACTGTATTTATTTTACAACAATTGCGAAACAAGTTATGTATATAAGTCCGTGCTTATACTAATCACTCTTGTTGGCCCGGATGTAAGCGCGCGAGGGGTCTTACTGTGGAAGGAAACCGGAGTACCCGGGGAAAACCCACGTGGTCGGGCAGGTGACCCTTTACCCTTTCACGTCCGTTCCGGGAATCGAACCCCGGTCGGCCAGGTGAAAGGCGAGTGCGTTAACACTGCGCCACCCGACCACACTTAGTTTCTAGAAATGATGGCTGAGGAAGAGTAAGTAACAGTATTATAAACATCTTTATTTTAGTCAACACCAGCATACGATCTTAACACATCTTTATTTTCTTCACTTTTTAATACATTCTAACAATTATTTCGAGACCAACATTTGCCAAAACGAATTGAAATCATTGATAACTTCAAAGGATTGAGTGCGAATCATCATCTCCTCAATGCTGTCGCAAATAAAACTATTTACCTATTATCGAGAATGTGTCATCCTCCTTTCGTTTTGTCTGGGGTTCTTGTGCAAATACTTTGAGAAGAGCGTATCACACATCGATAGTTAAGTATTACATATATACAGGTACACTGTTTGAGTTTTAATTACTCGCGGGTTTATATATGTTTGTAAAATTGAGGACCAGTGCGCATGTATAGATGAGATTTCAAAACATGTCTGAAATGTGTGAAAATACTTATCACGATAAGTACTCATTACTTTTCACTTTATCAAAGTTAGGTTAGTTTTTCTGTACCTATGTGCTTCGTTTATAGCGTAATAAACGATGTGTGGCAGTGAATTTACGCCTATATGTTATCTAGATTAGGTGTTCGATAAGGCGTTGTTTACAGATAATGGGTGTATTTATGGAGGAGACCGAGTACTGGTATAGTATCGGGTGTCAGTTGTTTACGAGTAAGTTGAATTATATTAATATATCCAGTGATCATGTTCCACAATTACCATGTAATTTGCAAATGCGTATGTAAATTTAGTTATGACGTTCGCTTATTCGTATATGTTGTGTAATTAAAAATATAAACAAGTTAG